AGCTTGTATCTCCGTTAATCCGATTTGCTTAAGCATAATAACACAATATTATTCATTACATTAAGGATTTAGACTTAATTTCCTTATTCTTAATAAAAAGATAGATTGTGTCTAAAGAGATAATCCAAGCTCCAGACTCTGAAATACTTGTAATCCTTATAATATTAAAAGAAACAACGGGACATGACATACGCTGCTGCTTTTTGCCCTGCCATCACATCAGGCTCGTTATTATTTGTTATCAAATCAAATGTCACTAAGTTTCTTTTTGGTACAAAATGAAATGCTACTATATTTTCATGTGTACATCAGTGCATATGTAAATCTATACTAATTATAGTCATCACGTGGCTGATGCAGATTGCAGTCAAGCCACCTTATATATATTGCTATCCTATTATTGTTTCCCTTATTACTTTTTTGTATTTTATTTCAGATCTATTAAGAGATTTGGAATGATATCACTACTTATATTTATTAACATATACTATAGTATAAGGCTTACCCCTACCCAAAATAAATATATATTAATTCACACCCTTCTTTGGCTAGACATGTGATATCACTGTTCATATTTTCCTCTTTTTATATTTACTATATATACACATCCATATCTTCTAACTCAACCAGGCAATTGAAGGTCCCAAAGAGAAGAATCACACTTCAACTCTTATTCACATTTCACACTCGTTACTCTTCAAAGAAGAAGAATCAAAAAGATACATACATATGACACAAATGTGGCCACTCTACTCTCAAAAGAACAGCACCCCCTCCATGAAGATACAACATGGATCTCCCAATTCCACAACTACCCCTTCCACTGTGCAAACAACATCTCTAACCTCAGCATGCCATTGTTGTTGTGTGGTGACAAAACTGATGAGAAAACTCAAGAGACGTAGCCGCACACTAAGACCCACAAGTTCTAGTCGACAAAGTTCTTTCCAATGCCGCTATGATCCACTGAGTTATTCATTGAACTTTGATACAACTGGATGTGGCAGCTTACTGGACGAGGATTACTACAAGTTCTATGCTTTTTCTTCAAGGTTTGTGGCAAATCCAAGAACTTCATGCCCCATTGTTCAAGTACCAGGGAACTCTCATTAGAAAAAATAATCAGTCACTAGGATCTCTTCTTTTTCTTGATCAAATACTTTCTTATTTATTTCCCCTTTTTTCACAAAAATATTTGTGGATTTTCCCTTCTTTGCAGTGATAAAGATGGGTATCATTCACTGCGGAGGGTTCTAATGTCTATGTCTAAGAGCTTGTTGTATAACATATATTATATTGAATGACTAGTTGTCGTTAATATTGCCAAGTTCTATGCAATGCAACTTTTGGGTGTTAATTAGTATATTGGCATACGTAACTTTACATTCTCTTGGATAAACCTCATTTCAAGGGTTCACTTTCATAAGTTTGAATTTGGGAATGCGTTAATTACTTTGTGGCACCAATTAAAACTCACAATCAAGTTGATGATTATTTTTCCGCTTGGAAAAATGTTAATGAAATGTTTGTATATTCAGATGACCAGAAAGAAAGAAGGGGAAATGTAAAAATAAAGACCAAGGTCAAGGACTTTGCGTCAAACGATTATTTTAAATTGGATCAAAATATTAATAATATATCATGGATTTATTTCATTTGTAAGCTTGAAATAAAGTTATAAATGATGTAAACGATTATTAGCAGCAATTGATGTCGGATATGATTTAAATTTTACATAGAGTTCGTAACTAATGAATATAATGTTGGCTTAAGCTTTTTATTGATCGAACTTAAATATAATGTTGATGTCGGAGGTTGAATTCTTCGTCAGTCTCAACTTACCTTACTCCTATAAATTGTGTTTCAATAGTTTGATGCAAATATCTCATTTAAGCTCTTTCACGTATAACCAAATATTGGAATTCGTATCATTGACTTATAGAATAAAATGAAATATAAACGAGTAAAAGGTAGAACAAAAAACGAGTCAAAAAGGAAGTCACCACCGACCAGCATAGGGGGATGTTCTTTCTAGGTTGAATCTGTCCACTGTATGAACGTGACTACAGAAGGTATTTATATGTTAATTATTTCAATAAAATTTGATTTATAAAACTTTTGTCTATATCTTTTTTCTTTATCACATCTATGGCCTATTCGATATTTCTGTTACTTCTCTTTTGCCTCTTCCTTCCTATTAATCTGAGATATATACACTCACGAGATATTTATGAAATAACTTACCATTTTAAAATGAAAAAATAAATATTTTTATACTATTTGTATTTTCATTCAGATTTTACCCTTTTCTTTTTTATTCTTTTATCACTTTATCAATTACATTTCTTAAACTATCTTAACACAATACTCTAATTGGATACATACATATTCGGGTTTAAAAAAACTTGAGTAACGTGTTGCTAATGTTCTTCATATAACGATCGTTTCTTAGCCAAAATTAATCAGACTAATATATACCTTACTATAGTTTTGACAAGTACTGTTGGAGGATTAGTGAAAATTTTAATTATTCATTAATAATTAATTTTAAACTAATAGAAAAATGAGTGTGCAGAAATATTTTTTCTAAACTTAGAATATAGAGATGCTGTTTCTTGAAATGTGGGCAGCCATGTGCAAGTTAGCTACTTTCTCCGAGCAAGCATAGGTTTTTAAGGAAGTTCTGAGACAAAATTCCACAAATAATGGTCAACAAAATTAGCACACTAAAACACATGGTTTAGGTTTAGAGCTACAAGCCAGTTGTTAACTTCAATTGTTTTCCTTTTCTTTCTATATTTATATTTTATATGATTAACGGTCAACAAGTTTAACATCAACACACATGGTTTTAAGCCATATTCGTTAATTTGTGGGTCTGTGTAATTTACTAATCTATATTAATGATTCCATGAGCAAAGATATAGGTGTCAGCACCAACTCCATATATGAGCTTCCAAACAATTGCTTTAAAACTATTCTCAAGTTACATGTTGAACTTTACCCACTTATGCCCCCCAAAGTTATTTTGCACATTAGTTTCTTAAGGTTTCAAAGAGTTTGATAGCCTTAATCCACCACAAAAAATAATTAAATATTAGTCAGTAAAAACTGTTAACGTGTTTAAATAAATTTTATTAATAAAATTTAGACTTTTAGAGCATCATTGTCGCTGTTGCTTACGAGAAATATAATAATAATAATAATAATAATAAAATGATGATTAAAACCCACTTCTAAGGTCTTGCTTGGCCTGATTCACAGAAACTGGTAAGATTAGAAGTGGCAATATTACTTGTATATCCCTTTCACTCCTTGTGCCACTTTTTTTTTCCTAGTGATGTCAGAAGCGACAATAATAAATTGTCTGACATGCAATGAGTTCTCCTTCTGAGCACTATATCTTGGAGTGCTCAGAATTCAAATCATATTCACATGCTATGGCTTTACATTGCATTTGATTATAATAAAATACTAATTGTCTTTCTTTATGAAAGTTAAACCTATTCATTTTGAGCTACGAAGAGTTAGTGGATGGGTACCATGTTATACAATATGTGATTCCACTAGTTTCAATATTTTTTTATAGCACTACTAGGCAATTTGAATTTGGAACAAAGCTCATATTATATAGAACTGAAAGGACTAATTACTTGGCGCCAAAATCTCATATATGCATGCAGAGGACTAGTTCATCCACCATTTATGCTAAAGCTTTAAATTTTGAGGGAGAAAGTAAGAGATCCTTCAAGTTTAATGGACTCAAGGGTGAGAACTAGTAGAGTGAGATTTGTTTCTACGTTTGTCCCTTCTCTCAAGTAGCATGTAATAGTAATATTGTACAGAGAGAACGAGTCTCACTAAGGATTTCTTGGTCATATGTAAACTTAGGAAAGAGGGATTATATGTGCATGCATTAATGCAAGTAGGTCTATTCATTCTTGGTTGATAGTTTTAGTATTTGATAAAGTTAAAACTGAGATGTTTTTGGTATTGTTTAGTGTTGCAATTATTTTGATAGAGTGGATCATCCAACAACTATTATGAGACGAAATTGTTCTCTTGTATTGTATTCTGTTGGATAATTGAACATGGTGTGGAACTCAAAACAGCTTAAAATTATAAAGGTAAGAGATTTAATATTGCTTTGATTTTAAATGATGTGGGTGGACCACCTGCAACGCCAGAAAAGCAAAATTGACTCAATATAGTATATACATAGTTTTTTGGTGAACAATTTTTCTTCACATTAATTAATACTTCGATTTTGCCTAGTTAGAAAATTGCTAAAAACAAACTGGACGAAGAATAGTTTGAGTCACGAAAAGGCAAAGCAGCAAAACGCGTCTGATTCGTCGTCAGAGCTGCATACACAATTCCCATTAAAGAGAACAGAATTGTCATTGGAAAAGGCATGAATGACAATGCCTCTCACACTTTTTAAATTGGAGTCATAATAGAAATTAAAATAATAGTATATACATACTATTATATTTATTAATAAAAGTAATTGAAAGATAAGCAAAAATAATATTTAAATGAAAAATAAACAAAAGAAGGTTGTCTTGAAATATTGTCATTAATGCCTCTTCACTAATATTCAATTGCGTAAGATTGTCTTCAAATATGATCTGAACCCAATCTAAAAAATAAGGTTGACTCTAAAATTAAGTCATTAAGGACTGTTTTTCACTCTAAAATAAGATATTTAAATACTGAGCTTTAAATGTTTTTAGTGTTGCCTTTTAACTAAAATTAAAACTTTATTTTGATAATCAATATCAATTTTTATTACGTTAATTATTAAATAAAATTTTAATTTTAATTAAAGAACATTCCAAGATAGCAATTGGTATACCAAACGCAAGTTTTATTTTAACAATATTATTAATAATTAATATTCTCTCCTCATCCAAAAACAAGAAGAAAGGGTCATAATAATTCAAATAGTAGTAGTATTGGAGTATTCTTTTTTTTTTTTTTTTTTTTTATCTAAATTCGTTTCTCATATAAACTCTCCCTTAATTAATACTTGTCTTATTCAGTTTATTTTTAAAAATATTTTTTTAACTTGTTTAAGGCTTTTGGAAATAAAAATTCTTGAAAAGGAAACTTTCCCAACCTGTGTCTACATATAGGTTTGAAGAATATAATCCTGTTTCTGGTTTGGGTTCGGCTGGATCCCACCGGTCAAACATTTTGCACTTTTTATAGGAAATAAAAATTAGGAAAATTTTTAGAGACACGTTCAATTTAATTAAAAGAGTCACAAATAACAAATTATCAGTTAATCTATATCATTAAATACAGAATACATTATTTTAAAATTCTCATAAACAACCTCTTGGTCGAAGATAGCATGACATCCAAACTCCTGTTGTTGAATACAATAACATGTACTATGTCACTGCAGCACTAACGTTGTTTCCATCATACTTCATACGAATACAAGCACTATGGATGGTAATAATGAATTATTATCTGGTTCCAATTGCAAAAAATGCCATGCTAGACAAAGAGGGCAACAAACAATACCCTGCAAGCAACACTATATTTCATTTCACTTGAAGAAAAAACTTTACATGTTCTCAACAATCCTATATTTGCTACTTCACTCACTGTCATACCTACAAAAATTCTAGCGCATTGGTGAAAAGGCTTCATCAGCAGCAAGAAAGAATATGGTTTCATTTTATCCAACAAATTACAGTTATGTTTCCTGATCTCTCACAGTATGATCTGAGACAGTTCCCTCGGATGATACCTCCCCTTCATGGGGCCGCTCAACCCGGGAAGGATCTGACTGAGTCTTGCTGGAATCTCCACTATCAGGGTCTTCCAATATATGCTCCTGAGGTGAACACCAAATTTTAGGTGAAGCCTGCCTATGCCTAGGCTTCTTATTTCTGAAGGCGCCTTCTGAGTCTTTGAATTTGGCTCTGCCAACAGGCCTTGGCAATGGAAGTTTGGTCTCAAGAAAGCTTGAAGCACCAGAGATTGGAGCATGATGAGGACCAGGAGCAACACAGGACGCGACCAGCTGGAGCACTTCAGGAGAAGGAGACAGTCCGGAACTTGTCGCCTTTGAATGGTTTGCCACCTTCAAATTAAGAGGAGGCAAGTTGAGGTCAGATTCAATCTGCTGATGTGTTAGAGTTCCTGTCTGAGAAAGTAGAGGTAATGGTGGGCCCAAAGGAGTTGAGCTTGAAGCACCATTATCAACATGATGGCTGCTGTGGAAGTCCCTGCGATTGAACTTGTGCGATCTTCTCTTCTTTTTCTTCTTAAGACTACACCTGGGGTCCTTCGGTAGGAAGGGAGGTGGTCCGGGAATCACAAATGGAGGAATTGTGGCCTTATCTTCTCCATATAACAGGCGAACTGATTGAGCAATGGCTGATACTGTGGGTGGCAGTTCAGGATCAGGAAGTTTGGCTGGGGAGCTCACAGCTTCTCGTAACCAGTGGGGAAGTTTGTCTCTTGAAGAACTGCTTCCACCGACTTCCTCTCCTTTTGAGTGCAAAGGATCAGGTCTAACAGGGTTAGATAATAATCCAGAGCTGGTAGATTCACCATTTCCTACATTAATGCAATTATCACGCATGTCATTGGGTGATCCATCCAGAAGTATAGGTAACTTTCCACACTTGGTATTTCCTTGGTCATCCTCCTTTTGCTGTACATCAATGCTGCCTGAGCAATTCAAACCTAGTGAACCCAAGGTACTAGTTCCAAAAGAATTGAGCAGAAATGGTCTTTCAGTTGGTGCATTGGAAGAAGTTCCTGGTCTATCAGATGTTTCAGCAGAAGCATCCTCAGGAAACTTTGCTTTGTTTTTATCATAGCTCCAAGATGGAAGAGGTGCAAAGTGATCATTTTGCAGACTAGGCCGGTCCAATGTTCTAAAATGTGGCAGACTAGATGCAGAATCTCCTATCCCTAATTTCATGTCAGTCAGATGGTTTTGAAATTTTGGTGGCAAAAGGAATTTGCTCCCATGCAAAGCCCTTTCCATCATTCCATCAGAGATTGGGAAATGTGCCGATTTGGTAGACTTCGTCAACTTGGATGATCTTTGCACAGGAAAAGGTGGCCCCTGAAAGACCTTTATTTGTTCCTCTTCCCACCTAATTGATAAATCTTCAGATGTTTTATACTTCGAAAACTTTAACTTGGGATCTCTGAGCATAGCATCCCAATTACCCCTGCCATGCCTACGAACACCAATCCAGAGAGAATCAAGTTCATCTTCAGACCATCCATCTTGTTTTGACTTCTTTTTCAAAAAATTACTTGGCCCAGATCCAGTTCTCATCATTATGTTTTCAAGCACCTTCCTATGGTTTTCTGGGAAAGATGAGAATGTGGTTGGCCTGTGTCCTAAACCTAAGGTAGGGGGTGCATCCCTGTCTTGCTGATTATATCTGAATAAATCTTCAGGGGGTATTTTGAACGTAGGCAATGCTGGCATTGTTGGAAGATCTTGCATAGATGCATTCAAAGCTTCAAGTCTTCCTCCTAATGACAAATTCGGTAAGAGGTCCAGATGGGAACTTGGCATGCTCTTAGTTGTAAGTGGAAATCTGGCCAGCAACCTTTCATCAAATGGTAGGTTTGGCAAGGCCATCTTCTCCTGGAAAGCAGAGAATCTAGCACCTGAATTTTCAAATGCATCGGATTCCTTCCCTTGCACAGAGGGTGGAAACTGCAAAAAAAAAAAAAAAAAAAGGATATCAATCATAAGGACAAATGCATAAAGCCAACCACAATTGACGATAAAATCCACACATATATTAAGAGAGCATACTGGAACAAAAGGGAGACTGCTATCAGGGATGCTATTTTTGAAGCTTGGTTGTAAATTTTCTGTTGATGCGTCAGACAGCTTCGTATTTGCTGCCACTTCCTTACTTCTGACCTCAGCATCCATGGATGTCCCAGAGCAAGGGGCAAGACTGAATGGAAACTCTTGTCTGGTTCCATGTCTATTTTGTCTCCAATTTAACTTTGAAATGTTACCTTCTGATGACTCTATTTGGTTAGCATTTGGAGCACGAAGTCCCAGAACAGGCAACAAATTGTTGGTGGGTATAGAGTTCATTATGTTTAGTGCCCCCTTATGGTGATTTGAAAGAAAAATATCAGGGAGAGAACGGCCTGGATTATTGACAGAAACATCAAAGTGACTGCTAATTTTATGTTTCGAAAGCTTATCAATCCTTGATAAGGAATCAGTGTTGCTATTTTGAGCTTCTGGAAGTTGAGTGTATTTGCTGTCTCCTAGATTGATAGAAGGCCCCTCTTGAGCTGAATGCATTGGTCCAGTTCCTAGATCCCCACCCTTGGCATTGGCTGGAGACTGTGACTCAGTACCTGGAAGTCCTTCTCCAGGATGTGATTCTTTAACTGCATTCCTACGGGCAAGTCGTTCCTTTTGCCGAGCACGGAGTCTAGCACTGTTGAGCAATAGCAAGTGTAAATATTCAGCATTGAGGATTTATTTAATCATAAAGTTATACCATTGGTAACAACCAACCAGACCAGAGGACATTATATCTTGATCCACGCGATAGAAAATTGCCAATTAAAAATAATTTAAACCACAACTAAAATAATATCATCAGTATAGACAGTACTGATGAGGGAATACTGATATGCCATGTATAGTTTAATTTGTTTAGAGAAACTAATGCATTGATATTAAAGTTAACATGACCAACTTATCAATAGCATGTAGGACTTGCTAAGAGTTCTAGGAGAACAGTTTCCAGAAGTTAAATTACAGTATTAAAGGTTTATATTTACAGATGCATTAAAAAAAACTAGTTAACACAGAAAAAATAAGGAAAACAAAGGAGGAAATCCTTCATGATAATTTACATGAGCAGTAAGAAAAACAAACTCCCTAATACAATATTGCATTTCAAAACCCCTGCACATTCTCAAAAGAAACCTTGAAAGAAGCCTAAGCAGGACACCAAAAAGAAGCCATAAAGACAAACCAACAAAAAAATACTCAACTGTGGACATATACATCTCCCATAACCATATTTAATAACTGTAACATAATTCAAAAAGTTCAAAAACAAATCATACAATTTTGCCTTCAGGGCCCGTCCTGCTGGTGTATATTCACGCTCCGGCTCTGGTTCTGGCTCTTTTTCCTCCTCACCGCCACTCTGGTTGAACAAACACACCAATAGAAAACATAAAAAAAATGACACATAATTTCTACAAGGACAAATTAAAATGAAGTTGAACTTAAATACTGAAGCTCAAAATAGATGAAATAATGTGAAAACTTCAATACTCAACAATTAAGCAAGTAACCCTCAAAAAGTGAACAGAGAACTATTTACAGCCCTTCCCATAAACACTAAGCTGATGTTTAGATTTACAGCAGAGATATAAAGAGAAAGAAAATGAGAGAAAACTAGAGAAAGTTTATTCTGAATGTTCTGAATACATAGATTTAACTAGAATCTAAGCGTTCATAGAGATCCTGTCTATATAGAAGCTATTCATTACACAGATCTGATAACAGCATACTAACTATTGATAGTTAGGCTAAACCCTAAACAGACATCTAAAACTAACACGGTTATATATTCCGACTACGGGAAATAAACTAGGACAGGAGTAGCCCTACGCAAATAAGGAAGTCCTAATTTACAAGATTAAAATCTCCATGTTAAATGTAGCACACCGACACACCCTACCAATATTTATCCATCTTATTGTATCGAGTCACATGATTACACTGAAGAAACCAATTCCACTCCACTACACTGGAGACATGTTTGAGGAAGTTGTGACACAGGAAAGAGTTTTTTACTTTTTAACTTGGAAGGCATAATATAACAAAATGCTATAGGTCCACTAATCTTAAACTTAATTAGCTTATATATCTGATTAAAGCATGCAGAAGGATATTTCAAGATTTCTTGATAAATAAAACCTTATCATCATCTTCCACCAGTGATATTCAGAATCAAATACATAATAAAGAAAATATTGAGCATATTATAACAAATAGGCTTTTGCTTACAAGCAGAAAGGAAGCAAATTACCTCACTCATAGTTTCACTTGGGTGTGGAGCATATACTTCCCTATAAGAAACAGCTTTCCGCTGCCGCTTCCCTCGACCAAGAGCTGCTTCCTCCTCACTTTGATATTTCTCCCACCTGCAAACCAGATTAAAGGAGCCACAAAATTCAAGCTAAAACATATTAGTCACACTGCTTGATAGCTAACAATGCTGTCAAATGCAAGGGAACAAGAATATAAATTTTTGTGCTACCATCACTCATAGAGATAAAACTTATTCCGCACTCTACTTAAAATATTCTAATATTTTAAAAAGTGGTTTCTTATAATCATATCTCCTTTACCATCATGGCCTCAAAAGAGTTCATTGCTTGTCGCTTCAGTTCTTACAAATAATTATGCATTAATGTGTTAGGATTGTAGCTAGGATTTGCAGAGGTGCATAAATCTTGTAGTTAGAATCTACAGCTATGTTTAGTTCTTGTATGCGTTAAGTACTTTGCTACCTCACATAATCAAGATTCAAGACCAGAGTGTAGTCACTCATGAGATTAAGGCCCATTTGTTTAGGCTTTTTTCCCCCCTTTTTAAAGAAGGTGATTTTAAAAATGTATTGAAAGGTGATCTATTTTAAAATTTTATAAAAAGCTGAAACCATTTTTTGTTTGGTTACAATTATAAAAAGCAGTTGTAGGTAGTTATAATTCTCAAAGCTAATTAAAACATCTTCTCAAAATAATGAATTATAAAACCATTTTTTCTAGAAGCTACTTAAAGTCTTAAACATCTCAAAATAATCAGAAATCTGATCATATGTTTGGTTCAACTTATTTGAGAGAAATAATCACTTATTTTTAATACTTTTCTCAGAGAGACTTTAAAAAATAAGCTATTACCAATCACACTGATTTTAAACGCTTACACACGTGAAATATTCAAATGCAAATTGAATAGCCTCTCCTACTAACAAGTCTACTTTCGATTTCTGTATCTTCCCAAGTGGTAATCTGATTTCTTGAAAAAGTAAGAAATAAATTATGAACAAAAATAGACTATCAAGTCATGACTTCAATTACTTGCAATTGCTCAATAAGCAAAGATTTGAGGAAGTTGCATAGACGAGTTATTTATGATAATCAAGCAACTTCACACATTGTTTCAAATTCAATATTACTGAGAGAACCCAACATATTGAGATTGATTATTGTTTTATTATAGAGAAAAACTCATTTGAAGACATCAATACCAACTTTGCCAAGTCATTGAGAGATCCTCCAATTACCTATATATGCAGCAAGTTGGTACATTTGATTAATATACTCAACTTGATGGGGCGTTAGAAATAATGTAATTATAATAAGTGTACATTACATGTTATGTAATTACGTTAATTAGAGAAACTACATACTCTTCTAATTATTTGTAATTGCACTTGTATTTATGACTCCTAATATAAATATAAGTTTCATCATGTAATTCAAACACATGGATTCACTCATGTTCTCTCGTTCCTCCTCTTTTTCAACATTATCTAGCTTCATTTGCTGTGTTTCACTCTTATATGGTATTATAGCATTTTTCCAAGCCTAATGTTGTGGCCCAGTCCATTTCATTCCACTTCTAATCCACCACCACTGCCAAGTGAATCCCCATCCTCTCTAAGAATGTTCTCTCACACACGATATATGTTTGATTGGATGATTGCAATTTCATTCTACAATAACAGCAGGTAGAAGCAGTAATTAAAGCATATCATTTTCATAGGTTTGTTGTAAACATGAAGATTCCACTACAATTAAATTAGATGAAGACTGAGGATTAGAACTAGCCAGTAAAGCATGCATGCAGCGGGAACAGTAAGATCAAATGTTCTCCTAGGAGCTCAATCTTGGTCTTAACCAACATTTTACTCTTTAATAGACATGGTTGGCCCAAACTTGAACAAATAAAAGCCTAAAGGGGTCGGGCTATAAAAGCTCAGAATTAATTTACACCTAAATTTTAAAGCTCAAGCCTTGTATTTTAGCAAACTTATTCGAATCGGCCTCTTTTGCTAGCTCTAAGTAGTATTGCCTTCAAATCAAAGCTCTAATTGATTCAACCATAAAATGTCCCACATTAACTAGAAATAGAGCAAGAATACTCCTAATAAAGGCTTGGGTAGTCCTCCATTAAGCTAACTTTTGGGAGTGAGTTAGGCCAAGCACTATTTGGTATCAGAGTCTATCCAGTTTGAATGTTGAGCTGTCCATAAATGTTCAATCTTGTTGGGCCACCTAAAGATGTCTAATCCTGTAAACTTCATGTACTAGATGTTCAGTCTTAGGTGTGAGGGAGGTGTGATAAAATGTCTCACATTGGCTAGAAATAAAGTCAGAATACTCTTTATAAGGAATTGGGTAATCCTTCTCCTACAAACTAACTTTTGAGAGTGAGTTAAGCCCAACTTTACTAATAATCCTCAAAGTATTACTTTTAGAAATTTGATGCTTTTGTCACCTTAATTAGTAGCCATTTAGAACATTAGAATGTTCGAGACCTTGGAGCTTTGCTTCTTGCTCATGAAGCAAGACTTGAAAAGCATAGGCAAACTACATTTTCAGATGTGCTCTTCGTGAACCCAGCTCAAGGTAATCCTAAGGAATCTGTTTGAAATCAACATAAACAGCACTGTGTATATGACCAAGGATCTCTTGTGAAGGGAGTCTTAAAATAGAACCAATTCCTAGCCCTCTGCCTTCATTTGACCAGTAATAGATTCTTAAAGCAGCTGACTGAGTAACAGATTATGTTACAGTTACAACAGTGAATAACAGTCTAATCTAACAGTATCAGTTCAGCAATTACATGAGCATATTACGATCACCTTGAAAGATGTATCCACTTTCTTGGCATGTCTGATACACAAACTTCCTTAAAAAACAGAAGAAAAAAAAAACATGAACAGAAACCAATACAAACACCTAAGTCTTATCCCACTACGCATGGTTGGCTTAACAGAAACCCACAGAAACAAGTAAAACATATTTATATCACAAAACTTTTGTTTGTATTTCAGGTCATTTCAGACAAGGCAGAATTGTCCTCATCTACATGTACGAGTGCTCTTCAGCAACAAAATGCAGCTTTCACCGTTATGTTTCAAAGTTATATCAATGGCCCTTGAAATGATATTGTTTTTCTTATTAAATCCTTATATTATTTATACAACCAATAACTGTTCACACATAAGTTGGACATTGTTGAAGTAATATATGACATCAAAAGAGGAGACAATCAAATAGAAGCTCCTTACCTCACACGCAGTAGTCTATCCCATTCATTTTCTTCATTGCCAATAGCTGCATTATCGTCTTTCTTCTCAGAATTTTGCGTACACATATCATCAGTCCCAATAGGAGGAGATTCACCTACTACATGTTCTTCTGTTGGTTCATCATTCCACTCAAGGGCCTAAGTAAGAAATTTTCAATCACAATAAGGGGAAGAGTAATCTTCATTATATATCTTAACTGTATGTAAGAGCAAGAATATACAATTTCAGAAAAAAAATAAGGGGAAAACTTAACCATTCAATTAACATACAACTTCAGAAAAAATAGAAGGGGAAAAATTAACTATTCAATTAACATAGATATATCCAAAGTTTATGGGAGAAAGAGACTTAAAAAAAAAAGGGCTGCATACATCAGCGCCCCCCCCCCCCCCCAAGTGGAGAGGCTGTTTCCAGGATTTGAACCATGACCAACTAGTCACAAGACAGAAACATCATCATTTTGCCAAGGCTCACCCTCAAAGAAAGAATCAAGTATAACATTAAAAATAAATGGAACAAAATTCCAGAGAATTCAGCACAAAGGGAACAGAAGCATCACCAATACTTCGTTTAGATTGTGTACATGTTAATCTACAGGTGCTACTTCAAAGAATTATAGTGAACCAAGTACAACCATTAATTACAGAACAGGAAAACTTAAATTGGTATATAAGCACTCAAACAACAAAGATAGTCGCACAAAGCAAAGGTATCTAAGAAAGGGAAAAGAATAAGCCACAAGAGAAAGAAAGAGATGAGAACACAGGGATATGTCCTTGTCTAAACACAAACAAGCAAAACAAGATTCATGCATCTTACAGAAACACACCATTTGACTAAGTTTATTGGTAACATTCTAATTTCCAGCCAAAGTTTAAAGAAATAAACACAGTATCAACTAAACATTACTCAATTACTTCACCTTTACTGAGCCCAGCATATCATTCTCAGAATCCCCTTCAGCAATGTCAGTTGAACCATCTTGAAGGTTTGAGCGATCAAGCAATTTTAAAATAGCATTTTCATCCCACAGAATCTTGCTGCTGCTATCAGTACACTTATCTTTGTACACATCTCCCAGACCGCCAGTCCTTTTCCGATGCTTATGTTCTATATCTGCCACTGCCTCATCTTTGTTACCATTGTTATTTTCACTCAGGTCCTTCCCATTCAGTCCAGGAGAATCGTTGAAAAGTTCCTCAGTTCCCCACTTTAAAATATCTTCCACTTCTTTTTGAGATCCAGACTTATTTACAAAAAGCTGATCAAGCATCAATTTCTTCTTAGCAAGCTGCAAGATGCGCTCTTCAACACTAGCACGAACCACTAGCCGATATACTAGAAGTCTATTTGATTGTCCAATTCTGTGTGCTCGATTCATTGCTTGGATATCTGCATGAGGGTTGAAATCAGAATCATAGATGATGACAGTGTCAGCAGTTGCCAAATTTATCCCAAGTCCACAAGAGCGAGTGGATAACAAGAAAACAAATCGGCTTTTGTCTTGGTTAAAACGTGCAATAGCTGCCTGGCGATCAGCTACAGAAACAGAGCCATCCACTCTCTCATATGTTTTAGGCCCAAATTCTATGCTCAAATAGTCCTCCAGGATGTCAAGAAGCTTGGTCATTTGTGAGAAAATGAGTACTCTGTGACCTTCCCTGTGTAAAATCTTTAGCATAGAATGCAAAAGAGTCAACTTAGCAGAAGCCTTTATTCTCATTTCATGAAGGAACTCAACAGATCCTGAATCAGGCTCAGTTCCCGGTATGAGATATGGATGATTGCAGACCTTCCTCAGTTGCATCACAATGTTCAGCATAGATTGTTGGGCGACCCCTTTCCCAATATTCCGCAATAATTGATAATTCTTTGTAAGCATTGCACGATAATACTCAGCTTGGATAGATGACAATTCAACAGGAACCATTCTTTCTGTCTTGGGGGGAATATTTTGCATGGCATCTTTTTTAAGTCTACGAAGCATGTGAGGAGCAACAAGTTTTTTCAATTCATCAACTTTCTCCGCAGTCGTAAGATCATTAAATTTCTCCTCAAATAAAGATAGAGAAGGAAATGAAGCTGGCTGCAAGAAGTTAAGCAAGTTGTACATCTCACCAAGGTTGTTCTGGAGAGGAGTACCTGTCAACAGTACACGATGTTGAAAAGAGAATGTATTTAGCAAACTGAAAAGCTTACTTTCTGAATTCTTCAGTCGATGGCCTTCATCAACAACAAGAACTTCCCAAGGAACTCCACGCAAATGAGAAGAATCAGCAAGAACCATTTCATAGGTAGTTAAAAGCACATTAAATTTATAGGCTTCTGTTTTCTTATTCAATCCACTTGGATCATTTGCATGCCATTCATACTGGCGAATTATGGATCTTGCTTTAGCACAGCCATGATATTCTACAACATTCACATCTGGAGCCCATAGAGCAAATTCAGCAAGCCAATTAGGCATTGTGGAAAGTGGTACCAAGACCAAGCAAGGAAGTGAAACTTTGAATTCAAAATACAACGATGAAATAAAAGCACAGGCAGATACTGTTTTCCCAAGTCCCATCTCATCAGCAAGTATCACATTTTTGGACTTGTACCAGCATTTACGCAACCAGTTCAAAGCCTCAAGCTGGTGGGGAAACAAAGAACCACCTTTCAGATCCGTAGGTTGCTCAGTAAGATTAAATATATCATTTTGATGGTCATTGCTTTTTCTAGTTGAATTTTCCTTGGATGCATCCCTTTCCTGCGTGAGGGTTTCGAGCTTATTAAAAAGGGTAATCAAATGAGAAGAATTTTGTAGCACTGGTTCCTCCAAACCTTCCCAAGTGCATTCATCATAAGGTAGTCCAGTCCATTTTACAAATGCTTCAGATGTTCCATGTTTGGAATTTCGAAGAGCAAGCACTCGCTGAGGCTGCTTCCAACGCTCCTCACAGATATTAATTATTGCCATCCCATACTTTGCCTTGTAATTTTCTAGTTTTCTCTTAGCAAGAACTTTTAACTGGGATTCAGAAATCCAACTATTATGAATATGAGACTTTCCTACCCACTTAACTAAAAATTCATAGGAAACTTTCTCTCCATTTGGACCTGCACATTCGACTACATTAGCATCCTGCTTGCCATTCATTCCCTTCTCTGCATTCGTTTCTTTTTGTTTTGTTTCAAGAGAGACATGTATTTCACAATTTTGTGAAAGCTCACTGTTGTCCTCACTTCTTAAAGCAACATTAATTCTCTCCTGTGTTTCCACCTTGTCATTGGGTTTTTCCAACTGTTCAGCAGATACAGCAGAATCACGCTGATCTTTACCATCCCTTGGACAGGGACCTAAATCATCAGTGGCTTTACTCAATGAATCTACAGGATTTCCTTTCTTACTTTCTTTTGTCATTGATCTTCTGTATACATGAATTCTCTCTGCTCTATTAGTGTTTTTCAACATTCCTTCTTCATCAGAATTCTTGATGACATTTTGACGATCATTGACAAGATTTTCAGTCAATTCAACATCCAAATCATTATCACAAGCAGAATTATCCTCTAGTAGTCTGGTCTGGTTTTCTGATAATACCAGATCACCAGAAGGTGAGTCATCTGCAATGTTCAAAGATAAGTGTCGCATTGAATTTGTGTTCTCACCTTGAATTCGACACCCTAGAACCCGATCAACCTGCAAGATGGATATACAAGTAGAATAAGTCATGATAATCAAAAACAAGATTCCAGGGGAGGCATTTTCTTAAACAAATCCAGCAAAAGCTCTTTCTAGATGGTTACCTGCAGAGGTTCAACAATAGTACTGTTTTCATGCATCAAAGTTTCGTCCACAAGATTTCCTGTTTTATCAAGTTCATTTGATGTGTCTTTCATTGCCTGAGGGAGCTTCTGCATCCAGGCAGAAACAAATTATGCTTATAGTTTAACACAAATGCAGTAGCATCTCAACAACAATAGTAAACATATTCTAGAACCCAGTTAGTAGTCTATCAATTAAATCAATGATAAGATAGTAGGATTAATATATCCAAAATTTCAAATATTAGGCTTAATATACTTTACCACATCATGCTGCTGTGATAACTATAAACCGCAGCTAGTGGCATACCTAAATCTAATGCAATGTAGCAAAATTTGCAGACTTCAAGAAATACTTATAGCTTTATTTTTCATTCTTTTCTGAAGTCTACATCTAAAAAGTCTGACAGAAGAAGTCTCTAAACATGATAATATTCAAAATTTCTCTACTAATAAAGGAGAATGGATTTATACCAATCATCTATGTTGAGAATAATTGTAAATAAATAGGGAATATTTATTTATTATTTAGATAGTGTTATTTTTTATAAATATGTAACAGAATATTGTGTAATTATTACATAATCATTATAAATAAAGCCCTCCACTGTGTACATATACACACAGATTTCACTCAATGTCTCTCGATTTCTCTCCACAGTTTAAAATAGGCATGCTTTAACAACAGCACTATTTACATAGTCTACCATGGCCCAGAATTGATGTCAAAAGGGACAAAAGAAGAACAATGCTTAAACTCAACTTTTAAGACAAAGTGGAAGTTTGAAATTTTAATATCAATCAAATTAAATATGTAAATTATTTATAAATATACAAATATTTTGTCTACATAAACCTAAGGGTAAATATTATTATGTCAGGATTTAGTCAATGTAAATGTTAATAAAATGATATCTACATCCAAAGTGAAAAGTAAAATTATCTCCAAGAGTATGTAATAACTACTGATAAGTACTAGATACAAGATAAAATGTTCTATAGGTTATTAAAAGTAAAAATCCAACAAGATAGTAGAGAGTAGAACAAGTACCTTATCTTTCTGCTGGGCGTAAGAATTCTTATTTCCAACATCCTCTTTTGATACAGATGCAGAAATGCTATGCATTATAGACTTCTGCTTCTTATTTACTTTATTACTTCCAGACTTGGACTTTAAGGAAGGATTGACAATTTTTTTCCCCTTTTCAGTCTTCCGTTTCTTTTGACTAGGATTATCATTAACAACTTTATTCTTCCTTTTTCTCACTTCCTCTCCTCCAGCAGTAACAGCAAGAACAAGTGTTTTTCTTAAAGGAAATTTATTGCAAGATAAATCGGTCCTCCCCTCCATCTGTTCATCATTTACTTCTAAATTAGTAATTTTAGGGAGAGATAAAACTTCCTTGACTGGCGAAGTTGACTTCCTGTCCATCGGGGAGTCTGTTGGGGACAAGTTTAATTTCTTCTCATCAGGATCCACACATGACGAAGTTCCTTCCATAGGACTCCCAAGAGACGGGTCAACTGGCTTGTTGCTACAAGTTGCATCTACGGGAGAAGACAAAAATTTCTTTCCAAAAAATTTGACTCCTATGTTCGAAATAGATTTTCCTTTGCTGGAGGACCTTTTCTTTGAAATAAGTTTACTTCCAAAAAGTCCAGATACTTTTTCAAGGTTAAGTGAGTTAACTTCACCTTTTGATTTTGCAGTGACAATCTTTGTCCTTGCTCGTTTTGAAATTGAATCCAGGTGGTTTATGGGCTTTAGCTGATCATTTCCTTCAACGCAGCTTGGACACTGCCACTTCCCATTAGGGATGCGCTTCAGGAGATAATATCACAAATGATTGAAAACAAAATCAGATTTTTAAAAAAAATACAAGAACCATAAGTTGTAATTGATAAAAAGCACACCATGCAACCAGATTTGAACATACCTTAAGAGGTGGATCAAGACATTGTAAATGATAAGTGCGAGGACAGCTATCACAGCACAATAAATTGCCACCAACATCACAGATCACGCATTCGTAGTAATACTGGATCAGAAGTTTCATTACATCAAGTTAGAACAGTCAAGTAGAAATAATAAAAAAGTCTTAAACTGGAAGCATCCCAAAATGTTTGTCTTGTAAATAGAAAAGAAATATAAATTAATGAAGGTAGAAGTATGAAAACACAGGATAAGATACACTGCTAGAAAATAAAATACATGACAAACAAAATGAAAGGATATTATTGAGATGACAATGACATCCAAATCCAATACAAGTGCATATCTGGCAAAAGATATTTTTTTTGACAAGGAGAGATTATGTTAACATAACAGTACAAAGATAGGAAAGGAAAATACATCCTCTAAAAGGAAACAAGAAAGAATAAACAAATTAAATAACTTCAGGAAAGTAAGCCAACTACAGGATGACATATCAGACAAGATCCCTTCAAAGAGCCCAGTAGCTCAACTCCATGAAAAACAAAATTACAATTTTTCCCAGATAAGAGACAGTACTATGTACTTCTGAAAATATTTTTGCATTTCTCTCCTACCTCAATATTCCAAATAAATGCATACGCTGCACATTGCCATATTCATCTCACTCCAAGTCTGCCAAGCTACCAGACAATGCAAAAAGTAGGGCCTATTTGTGTCAGGACATTTCAGGAACATGACACAATCTTATAGAAATTAGAGAGTGCTGAATTCTGCATATCTAGGCAGCATATTGATCTCATTTATAATAAAATTACAATCAATTATCAAGCAATGAAGCAGCTGATTAGGATCTATTCAATAAATTGAAAGCAATGATCATAATTATAGGTGATCATATATAAGCGTGCTAAATACCAAGATCAGTAACTCTAAGGAACTCGGTAAATAAGTCTGCTAGATGGTTTCATGTGGTGACACTGTAGGTCATGTGCAGATCTTTATTCTTCTGATGTGAAGATTAACAATGGTCAGTAATACAAATGGTGGCTGGCAGGTAGCACAGTCATTAAAGGCAATGAAAAATAAAAATACTCAGTTCAAATGGAGAAAGATAACACAATTGGAATTGGATGGTTCCACCAGCTATTTCACAGTGAGTAAGAATGAAAATGATAGGAGGAACTTGCTGGATTGAGGCACAGCAGAGGAAGGCACTGCTACAAAGGGAAGAGTGTTAACAGGTAGCCATTAGAGAACCCTAGAAATGCAATTCTTGGTGGGAATAGATGTTTTCTCCTTTGGTAAAGATGAAGCAGTTGCAGAGCATAGTTGGAATGTTAATGTTGACCTTGAAGGTGCTTCATTGAATCATCAAGATCTGGGTATCAGTACCAAAGTGCTAACAAGGCTGGAAATGAGTTTGGCATGTTTCTATACAAAAAACTGTCAAGTTGAGCATTTTTGTGATGTTTCTGGCAACTTCAGAGCGTAAGTTCAGCAGTGAGAAAATTGGACAGTGGGAATACTTTATGCTAGGATTGCTGATACTAGCGAGGGGTATCGCTGTGCACTCACTTTAGATATGCTTTCATGGCAATGCAAGACAAGTTGCATGGTTCTGACCAATTTTTTCAAGCAGTCCAAACAATAGTTATTGAGCATACCAGGTCTAAAAAGCATCTTTGATGCCTTCAGGGTGTGATGCAAGGAGGGGGCAGCAGTTTAAATGTGCTCCTTGCAGTACTTAATGACCTAAATGATGGTATTGCTGTCATCATTCAGCAAAGAAATCACACTATCAGTGCTTTGACTGCCAATGCCTCCTGCACCTCAAAAAAAAAAAAGGCATCATAGTCAACGAGTGGGCTGAACTGAGATACATCCGAGTAGACAACTAGCTGGAACAGTGATTTTGGGCTTTGGGCTAGTCTATGGTGGAACTGGCTGGAGAAGATGCCTCACACTCCGTCATGCACCAGTGAGGCATTCTTTATCAGATTTCAGTAATTTGCATGTAGCAACACATCAGAGGTCCATCAGCAGCAATATTCCGGTAGTTGAGTGACAAACAAGCTTAGTCACTTCTGAACTGAGGAAACAAAAACTCCAAAGAGTAGCATGTAGGGGGTTAAAGTAAGGTTCTGATGACTACTGACTACGCAGCTGATGCAAAAGTGAGAATCATGAGACAGACACCATGAAACAGAAATTTTACATTTTTGGGAACTCAGCAGAACATTAATGCAAGTGTAAGCCACGGAGGATGAGTATGCTGAATTATGTGTATCTACGCCGAACATTGATTTCTAATTAATAGTATAATTTCAATCAATAAATGAGCAAATTATTAGATGATTTGCAACCTATCCATTAACACATTTACCTCAATCATCAAAATTTTAGATTTAGACATGCTAAATCTAAGATGTCTTATTTCCAATTACAAACAATCATAATTTTCATGTTGCTTAACCCGTCTGGACATCCAAAAGCCTCTAAACAGTGAAGTTGACATAGCAGAGGCCAGAACTAATGTAGCAACAATTGTCTAGACTCAAAGACAAACATAGTGAAAACAGCCAGTAAATGAAATACTAGGATATATTCAAATTCTCAAACTCAACACTGTGTGTATTTAGCTGAACCATTACAACCTAGGTTGTGAATAGCACGTGATAGAGCTGCTATGGCGGTATGACATCTCGTCACAGTGGCCAGCCACTATTTTGAGCTCATCCCACTGCATGTCAGTGTTGTGGCAATAATTAAATTCATCCATATATTGACATTTTATAGTCAAATATTTCATTGTATAAATATAAAAATGAAACATAATACAAATATTTAAGTCACATTAGCCACAATGACACTAAAAAATGGTTGACAGCATAAATTATCCATATATACCTTCAAATCAATCACAATGACACAAAAAAAGAACTGGGATTACATAAATCAGCCATATATACCTTCATATTAGCCACAATGACACAAGAAAAGGGCTGTAACTGCATAAATCAGCCAAATACCTCCAAATAATCTAGTCATTCTCCCCAAGATCAATATCACTTAGCTCATGATCCTCATTTTCCACTGGTAAAGGCTCTTCTTGTTCTTCTACCCCTTCCTCTCCATCTCTAAGTATCTCTTCAATTTCACTCTCATCTTCAATTATAGATTTCCCCTCTTATTGGTCCTAGCATCTAAGTTTTTCTGAATAGGGAGTGAGGAGTTGAGAGACCACAATAATGCACTAGGAGACAAAGGGAAAAGCAACAAACATTGTGGAGAAGAGAGCAGAGCACGTGGGAACAAGAATCCAAGGATTTTTCTTTGAAATATAATAGTGGATCTCGCTGCAGAGTGAGTATCAAAAGGTTCCCACACATTTCGCATAAAATTTCTATTGTCTGTTGTACTCTTGCATTCATCAATAAAATTTCTATTCTATCAAAAAACACAAAATGAAGTATTCCAAACATGGAATTACAACAGAATCTCATCCCATATCACTTTGCTTATTTATCCTCTTTTTATTAAAGGGCTAAGGTAAACTTTCTTTATGTAATAAATTGGACATATAAAAGGTAACTCACCCCGTCATTTCCTTTCTTCTTAGATGAAACTTGATCAGCAGCCACTTCAGTCTTTAGCACATGTTTAGCTGAAGCATGTCTAGAAGATTCAGATGTTACTGAATTGTCTTCTTTACTGTTGGACTGCTCTTTACCAGAGGACTGTTCTGGTCCTAAAGGAAGTTTTCTCCGCTTACGTTTTAAAAGCCAATTCCTGTTAAGCATTTTAGGTGCTGATGATTTGTTTTCTTTCATCGTTCATATATGCATCCTACATGTACAATCAGCACTTTGAGCATCAGCATGTGATGAGAAAATGAAAATCAAAAGCATCATATTTTTAAAACAGTACTAATAATCTTGCTCATGTCTGTTCATTGACGCAGCACAGAAAACAATTACAGGGAAAAAGTTTAGTGCAAGCAATTAGTGCACAAGGTAGAAAGAAATAGTATTGAACAATGACTAAATACTGAAATAGCCCTCGTAATCATCAGCGTTTCTCATAATATTTGAAAAAAAAAGCTCAACCATTACCAGAAAAATATTATAGATGTGTGCCAAACTAGAGAAAACATTCTAATAATTTATTCAGAGTACAAACCATTCAATTTTTTTAATAAAAAATTATTAAGGAAGAAAAGTGAGATACAAATGCAAGAGGATAAGAAATCCTCAAAAACTGAAAGCAGCATCAAAAAAGAAAGATAAAAACAAGAGACTAAGAACATTAAACATGCAGCACAGCACACCAATCTCTTGGATGATCTGTCAAAGACAACCCCTTAAAAAGATATTTGGCATAACACCACAAAGAAGCTATGCACATTCATTTTTATTTTTTTATTGAAAATTTATGTAGTCCTCATTCTCTAAACACCACACTATAGTAATTATTCATGAGCACTAACATCGCTCAACATGGGAAGCAAACCTATTGGATTTGGGAGAGATTCATAATCAATCTCAGCAGAATTCAAAATATCAAGTTTGCATTTAAAATCTAGTCCTCTTTCCACAACTGAAATTACCACAGACTGCCTCTGATAAAGTATTCATCAGCTGATTAGACAAAGTCCATCTTCTTTGAAAACCAAACCAGTATAAAAAGGGGTTTTTCGCCTCAAAAGGGAAATCTCCATGATAGCTAAAGGGCAATCAGTCCACTAGGTTAGTCTTGAACTTGGATTGAAGCTTCAAAACTGACAGTGATTTAGTACGTTGGCTCAAATAGGCTTTGATTATAGTCCATGCAGTCTTATCTTGGTTTCACTGACATTACATGAAAATCTGCGCATGCTTCATTCATTCAAGTTGTGATTATTCCAACGTCTAATGAATTTGGAAAATCCAGCCCACTTAAATCTTGAGAAAGGTCTTAGGTAAAGAAATAGTTGAAGCGAGGTATAGTTGTTGTCGATAAAAAAGTAATTTCTAACTCGTTATTTGTTAAGGTAACGAGTCAATGGAAAGCAAAATCAATTACCACATACAACAAATTTCATGATAATGGAATGCAGCAAATAATGTCAAGCCAAAGTTTCATGATAATGCCAAAATCAAAGCAAATGGGATGTTTCGCTTAAGAATGAACATTTACAACAACGACAACAATAACCAAGTCTTTTCACTCAAGAATGAATGTTTCAGGACAAGGAAAAACTCTCCTTGAAAAAGTTAAAACAGAAGCAAAGATTTTATCATTTAATGCTTGGAAATATTTGCATTCAGCCACACAACACATCTTTGCAGATAGACTAACACGAATAACAGCATCACCCTTTATTATGGAAAGTTAGAAACATTGAATCAATAGCCTACATCCATCCTTTTGCAAATGTCAGCCCCCCTTTTGCAATAATATTCATAATAAGCCAAAAAATACATCCAAGATAACCTAGACGTGCCTAAAACATACTGTTTCCCCCAAAAAAACAATTACTAGCATACAAAGTTACGCAAATTTAAATTTCTTGAGATACAACAGAAAAAAACCTTTTCGGCTACCACACTCATTCCAGAATCAAAGCAGGATTAGATCAATCATAGAAGCATAGACAAACTACTAAGGAACACAGTCATCTAAAAACTATTAAATGAAGCATATACAATGAACGGCTAGTCACAGTATGTTCAAGCACACCACAAAAAAGAAACACACAAAAGCCAGCAATTTGCTCCCAACTCATGAAGCATTATGCACATTCAACTTCAAGCGAGACCCAGAAGCCCCTTCAAGAAACAAATAGACTCAGAAAGCAGTTCAAAATCCAAGTGACAATCAAGCTCATTAAAACATCAAACTTCGGAAGCAAGAATCACAATTACAGAGCAAGTGTCTGAAGAATCAAAACAAGAACCAGTTGAAATTAGACAAAAAAAAAAAAAAAAAAGCGATGCCCACAAAACCCCAGAACCAAAATTGCAGCAAGAAGCAAAAAGAAGGAAAATTGAGAAGCATACCAATCTGGCTGATGGATCAAATAGCAGCACGGAGAGGGATTGCATGAGATTGGAAGAGCGAAAAGGGGAAAGTGGGTGTGCAGAAAGGGAAGGGTATTAGGGCATGGACGCAACGAGATGAGAGACACGAGGAGAGAGAGAGAGAGAAGGGGGCAGACAAATGAATAAATAGAGAGAGAAAAAGAGATAGCTGTTGTTGTTGTTGTTTGTTGATGTTGTCTTGTAGAGAGAGAAAGAGTGGTAGAGAGAGAAAGACACACAAATACGGATTCGCCGGGGTCATAGGACGGGGTTACGCTCTGACATGGCAGGAGAGAGAGAGAGTTGTTGTTGTTGTTCAACCCAAAACCAAAACCACTCTCCCACTCTAACCATGCCACGTGGCATCACGAGGAGTCTTTGCTCTCTCCCTCCCTTTCTCTTCTTCTCAAATCGCTCCCAACTGAACTATCATCGTTTTTCTTCTCTCCAATTATCCCTTTTCCGTTTTTGTGTCTCACATTTTTCTCTTTCTTCTTCTCAGTGCCATCATCTATTGCTTCCTGCATCTGTGCCTTCATGGGGTGCCCCATTTTTCCCTTTTTCTTTTTTCTTTTTTTTTAATATACCCTTTATCTTTTTCCTTCATATCTCTCCTTTTGGGCATCAAGGATCAAGGATTATTATGTGTGCATGCTATAAAGTTCCTCTTTTTTTATTTCTTCCCATTCAATGTTATCAAATATAGGTTTTACTATTTCCGATGACAGAATCTATTTCAAACAGCCTCATAATATCTAAGCTAAATCTCCATCTACTTTTAATTAAGTTTTCGAATCCAACTATTCATGCTTGCCTCTCTTTTTCTAATTCTTTTTACATTTTTTCACTTGATTTTTCTTTTTCAATCCTAATGCCATATCTTGCTTTTATTATTCATTTATAAACTTGCTTTCTTTGATATATTAAGATTCTCAAATAAATTTTACAAAATATAATCTAAATGCATTTACTGTTTTATTTGATACCCGGCAAATTCAAAAAAAAAAACTAAGGCTTACCAAAAATAGCATATGTCATCATTGATTGCATTTATATTCTTCGTAAAATTAATCCACTATTTTGCCTCATCCAAGACATGCATGTCATTCAATTATTTTTAAAAATAAATGTTAGGATAAAAAATTGTATTAGTGCATCTTCATCTAATAAAAATCAAATTAGTAATAGAAATATTATAAATCCATATTCATAGTATAGTAATGTGTTGTTATCTTAACAACTTTAGTTTATCAATGTTACATATCAATTTTGTTATACAAGTAAAATCATTTATTAGTATAATCCATCGTATCATGAATGTAAGTTCACAATGTTTAATTACATAGTATTATATACATTTTCATTTAAATTTTGTTGTCGATGCAAGAAGAATTTAGAGAAAAGGTAATATTGGATAACCATATCATAAAAAAATTTCTTATTTGATGGGTTATTTAAGATAAGTCAAAATAAAATAAAAAGTATTGTTAAGCGTTCACCAAATATATCATTCATATATGTTAAATTCTCCTAAAAGATTTATAATAATTCTCATAATTATTTGTTGAAGAATGGATTGTAATAAAAGGAAACCTTAAAAGTAGTAAAAAAAATTAAATTCACATATCTTATAATATTGACTTTTTCTATTACAAAATTTGAAAATCATTGAGTCAAGGATAAGCAATAGAAATCAATGCTTAAATATTTTTTTAAAAAAATATTATTAATACAAAATAAATTTAAAAAATATTTATTAAAAATCAATTTAATAATTCTCATCATTTAATGAATAACAATGAAAAAAAACTTTAAAATTTGTAAAAATATTAAATTCACCTGCTTATTATCTTGATTCCTCTGTAAATATTTTGAAAGATTGTTAAATAAAAGATAAAAAAAATGATAATTAATATTTAGTTATTTTTTCTATTCAAATTTTATTAACATTTCAAAAGGAAATTAGAAAATAGGTAAAGATGAATAAATAAATCATTAAATTGTATTTCTTGACTTATTTGACGGCTAAAGATAAGACTAAATCAAATTAAAACCTTTGGAAAATATTTTAAATATTTCTAAAACATTAATAAAATAATTTTTGTAAGTATTCACTAAAAAATACATTCCACGTGTTGGAAGTAATTTACATTAATAGTTGGAAAAGATGTTTGGAGAGTTGTTGTCAATGTCTTTTCTAATGGTTATACTGATAAGAATTTGGTTGAAACTCTTATTTGTTTAAATCTCAAAAGTTGATTTCTCTTCACAGGATGAGTTTCATCCAATCAGTCTATGCAATGAAACTATGCAATATTTTTTAAAGATCATTTATGAAGTTATCTCATTGATATACAAAATAGTTGTATTCCTAAATGTGCCATTAACAATGCAATCAAAGTTCAAGAGACTGTTTACCATACACACACAAAAGGACAGATTTATTTACACAAAAAACGATAAATTTGTCTATCTTTTATTTAAAATTGATTTTAAAAAAAACATATAACATAGTTAACTGAAATTTCTTGAAACTAACTTTTCTTGAGTCTATATTTCATATTATCACTATTAATCTTATCATGAGTTGCATTACCTCTTTTAATTTATCATTGAGATGAAATAGCAAGATGATGGATATTTTTGCTCCAACTAAAGGTATACCTTATGTCTCCGTGTCTTTGTACTTTGCATTAATTTTAGAGAAAGTTCAGAAACAGTGACAGTCAATAATTTTTCATATGATTTTTGCTGATGATTATCTTTTGTTTACAAAAGCAATGTCTTATTAAATGAAGTTGGTTAAAGAACTTTTTATCAGTTTTTGTTTTGTATTTGGCTTGAAGGTAAATATTGAAAACTCTAGATTTCTCTCTTATAGAAATTTTGTCATTTAAAATACTCTAAATTCTAACATACTTTGAATACTGGAAAGTATTTGGGATTTCTTTTGTTAGAAAGAAGAGTAAAAAATAAATGACTTTAATGTTATCATTGATAAAATCAATTCAAGACTTGTAGGTTGATCATTGTCTTCTTATCAAAAGAAAAAGAATTATAATAATTTTTTTTTAAATTTTTACTTACTTTGCGTGAATGTAATATGTGTTAGTTAATTAACTACGTATGTTTTTTTTTTTTAAGATGATCCTTATTTTTTTTAAAAAAAATTGCCCTCTTCAACCCAATGTTCTTGGTTAGCCTATGCAATGGGTGTAAGTTATCCCTGAATGTAATCTCCTTCCTCAACTCAATTCTCATAATTATTCATTAAAATAATGAATTTTTTTTTAAAATAAAAGTATTAATTCACGTGTCTTGCACTTTTATCTAAATTTATTCTGTAAATAATTTGAAGACCATTAAATTATGGATAAGCAATGAGAATTTGTATTTAATTATATTTTTTTTCTATTTAAATATTATTACAATGCAAAAGAAACTTTAAAAATATATTAAAATAGAAAAATCAATAAAATATTTTCTTATCTTATTTAAAGGGTTATTTATGACAAGGTAAAATAAATTAAAAATATTACTAAATATTACTCTTATTCCTTTTTATAAGGAATACTTATAAATATTTTTTTAAAATACAAAAAAAGACTCTTTTTTATATGCATTAATTGTTCAATTTTTTATATCTTTATTTATTATCATATTTATGTTAAATAGGTATATGAAAGTGAATAATTAATTTAATATACAATACACTAATTTTACTATGTAATATTATGAATATTTTTAGAATAGAATATAAATCTATGTATAATTATTCTTTCTTTATTTTAATAAATTAAATATATATTTTTAATAAATAGATTGAATGCATTAATATACATCATTAACCTAATATATATTATAAATATACTAATTTTTTTCTAAAATATCAATGTAATAGTTATCATAATTTTTTGTTGAAAATTTAATAATAATGAAAAGTACCACCTTAAAACTTGGAAACATGTTAAATTCATATGCCTTATTATATTTATTTTTTATGTAAATAATTTGGAAGATTATTAACCAAGAATAATTAATGAAAATTAATATTTTATTTTTCATTTAATTTGTATTATCAATACAAATGCATTTAGGGACCATGTAAAAACAGATAAATAAACTATCAAATTTTCTCGTCTTATTTGATGAGCTCTTTAAAATATTCATGAATAAAAATTAAATTATTATTAATATTCATCAATTTATTTTTATTTCTATGATCTTTTCTTGAGACGTCTAAGAATGACATAACTTGTTACTTTAACTTGCCAATTGGTTTGATAGTGTACATTTCACCAAGGTAAAATGTTGCGTAATTTAAAAACCTTGAAAGAGGTATTTTTAGTAAATTGTTATTTTTGTATGTTATAATGAACTTAGAATTCCCAAAAAAATTCAGAATGATGTAAAAATAAATTTGATCCTTTGCAAAAATAATATTTACCAAAGTTATGTTTCAATCCACTTTATAAAGTAGTTGAATGCTTTGATCAAATATTTGACTTATAGGGATAAAGGCCCAAAAATTTTCATACCCTGATGATACAAATGCTATGTATAACAATATATAATTTTGACGAAAAAGAAGAAAAAGAGGTAGAATAACTCTTTTAATTATTAGAGAAGTACATATATATTGGCATGACAAGTGCATGTTCTACTCTTTTTTATGTGTTCATTTGCATCACTCTTCATTCTATTCTCAAATAATTTTCTTGGTCAATGTTTTTCCTATGAGATAATCTGCACTACTTCCTTTGTGTAAGTTAATCATGACAGGAGTTGGAAAACCTCTTGTAAAATGTACTTTTTATGATGGTATACTACATGGTTTTTTGGTGATCCATTTAACTTTTTTAGGGTTCAATATATAGCTGTGAATCTTTGGGGAAAATTATACACGTGCTCCAAACTAGTTGTCTTTTTGTTCTTGACACAACCACTAGTTAGCATGTAATTCTACAAATTTTCTTGATTTGTTAACTTATTATTATTTGGCTTCTTTGTGTTTATCAAATTTTATAGTTTGCTCTTACATTGTGATTTATCGAAATATGGTAGAATTTTGCACGTGAGAAGGCATTGGCTAAAGTTATGATTCTTGACAAGTATATTATTTTAGGAGGGGCTTTTCAACTTGGAAATTTTTCTTAATAAGGAATATAATAATTTAGAAATTGTTACATACTATTAATGAGGTTGGTCTCATTTCCTTAGCCATATTGAGTTTGGCTATGAAAGCTTCATACTCTAAGTGGCTTTTAACCATGTTGGTTGTGGGTTTGACTCTCCTAAACAATGTTACAATTCACTCTAAATCATCGTAGTTCCTTCAACTATGGCAATGTACCCTTTCTAGATGCCAAGAAAAACAATGAGGGTATTAGTAAAATGCACTTTAATGTTTGAGTTAGTAAAATTGCTAAAAGGAGTAGTGTGAAAATTTTCTATATGTTTCCTTAAACATATAATGTGGTTTAGCGATTGTGTCAACTTTGTTTCGTGTCATTGTGCCCTCACCTTTTATCACGTGTCAAATGTTACAGTAAAACTAAATAATTATTGTTAGATGGTGGCTTTTGTGTTAATTAAATTTAGGCCTATGGATCAATCCCTAAACACTACTTTTATAGAGTGTTTGGCAATTTTTTATATTTAAAAAGAGTTTTTTGTGCTAAGATAAACTTTTAAAAATTACTATTCAATCGTGTGTGTTTTTTTAATGATAAAAAAGATTTCAGATCTTGAATTAGTTTTATAACAATAATTTTTTAACAAAACAAAATTTAAAGCTTACGCTTAAAAGCTATTAACTCATTTCTTTGCCTAATCTTTGTGTCTTCATTTTATCTCTAAAAACTGATTAATATAAAGTACAAAATTAACTTGTACGAGTAATTATATATTTAAATATTAAATTTATTTTATATAATTAATTATAATGATAAATAATTATTGATACCATTAATCATTTGAATAAATTTTCACAATTAATCCAAACACACTTATTTGAAACAAAATGTTCTTCTTTGTCATTAGTTTGCGTTGAGACAAACACTAACATATATATATATATACACACACACTAACTTTAGTTCAATTCTTAGTTTGTTTTTATGCACTTGCATTTCTAATAAAATAGGATACATCTTTCCATCGACTTAAAGTCATGTTTGAAAATTTACATCCTTAAAAATAGTTATATTCTTTATTTCATCTAATCCTTTTTCCATAAAATGAAATAATATTATAAAATACAGATAAATGATTGAATATGTGAAAAAGAACAACAACTATTATTTGTTATCACAATTTCATACATTCATTTTGCATTTCAAAATATAGGCATAAACCGTACATGTTCTTAGAATTATACGTTGAAGACATGAGCTATGAAAGTTGTCGAGATCTTGGAATTAGGTAAGGCACAAAAACTACTTATGACGTTAAGTCAATAATTCAAGGTTTAGCAAAACTCATAAGAAAATCCCAATTTTTTTTTTAAAGCTTATTTTTATATTTTTCTCTCTCTTAATTTTAAACGTTTTTCTGTTTTTTTTCCTTGGAGTTATAAGAACGAGACGACATCCCCATTAGCATGTCAGAGAGATTAGTAAAGACTCATAGTTATTACACAAATCAAAATTAAAATGATTTTACCCAATTATAATTACTCAACTAGCCCTTAGATATTGAGGATTCTTATTGAAAATGAATGTTCACCGAGGCTCATTTTGAGTAAACTCTTAGAAAAGTTTTTATAGGAGTAAGAAATCAATATTAAAAATGGATAATAAATTTTTTTATTAGAACTTTTCTAGGAGATTAGTCTAAGTAAAATTTTAGGTAGTTCTAAAGAAATTTGAACCTATGCCATGAAAAATGAGATTTTTCTTCCAGATTCTTGATGTATCAACCTGCGATGGCTTAATATTTATCTACTTCACCTTATTAATAGAAGCATAACTAAATCATTAATTAGTACAAGTTTGAAAATAGTTACTTTTTATTGATTTTATGAGAGTTAAAATAATGATTATTCTTCCAAAATAATCATTTTCCAAACATGTGCTAATTTATTGCTATAAAGAAATGGAGCCAATATCTTAATGGGCAAAAACATATTATATCCCTTTCTCCTCAACCCCTTAGGCATTTATTGAAGCACAAAAGTTACACTCAAGCACATTCTATGGTTAACTAAGATGATGAGAGCTAATTATAAGATCTAGTATTACCCAAAATATATGGCATAGTGCAGATGATTAAGAACGACAGCCAAATAATATGTCGCATCGAACAAGGTGCTTGCAATCTCGATCTGCTTGTCCATTTCACAATTCATCTCATGCTTCACAATGTTGCCTTTTCAAGCTTGTAGGGAATCATACTGTTCGACTTGACCTATCACTTAATGATGATGGTTGATACTATATGACTTTTTATTTCTAGTTCCACAGTCAATTTTGGATGGCGGAATTGTCAAATGTCAACAGCCACCATAAGCAAGAGTCACTCGACTACTTCACCTGTTAGGTTAATGCTTGCCCTTGAAACAAGGGCACTGTCTCTGGGAGCTGAGTAACTGTTATTTATTTGCTTTTATGGCCCTTTTTAATGCATATAAACCATATAGAAGGTTTAGAGACTAGACATGAGAAGTAAAAAGGAAAAAAGAGAAAACGAGCTGTAGAGAATCAGGATATTTTACTCCAATATCTAGTTACAACTCTTTCAATACAAAAATACACGTACAATCAAATATTCATTTATTGTGTAATTTAAAAATAAAGCTAATAGATTATTCAACTCATTTTTATGTGATACTCCCTTGGTCTCCAACTAGTGTTATGCTATAGTTTCTAAATAAATTTTAAACCATAATAATTAACAATAGTTTTCAATTTTTGAAAAAAAAATTATTTTTGGTTTTGCAAGAGTAATTAGTAACACAATAAAGTGGACATGAAAATGTTAAACTAGTAGTAAACTGTCAAGAACATGTAATATAAATCTCTTTACAAGTGTATCGCTCCCCCCTTTCTCATGCTAATAACACCTATTATAAGACTAGAAATTATAACCAAAAAACAAAAAGATAATTAAAAGAAAGGATAGGACAACCAAAAGCAAAAGAAGTTTTGATGTTTAGCATGATAAGACAACCAAAAGCAAAAGAGGTTTTGATGTTCAGCATCTTCCATAAATTTTGAAGATGAATGCAGGTCTACCACCCAACAAGTAAGAGTTTCAAAAGAGCCATCCGAATATATAGACCATATTTGGCCTGCCTAAAGTAAGCAGCCCTCGGATCAGCATCAACATCCACTGTGATCTGCATGAAAGCAAGAAGCAATAATGAAAACCAATTGTATAAACTCAATGTTTATATTCCGCGATGGTATTATCATAAAATTTTGATATAACATGCTTACTTCATCAAGTCTTGGAAGAGGGTGCATAACCACGGCATGTCTCGGCATTACCTTGAGAATATCCTGATTCACAATATACTTGCCTCTAGCCTTTTCATAAAGGTCAATTCTTTCTCCAAATCTCTCTTTTTGAATACGAGTTTGATAAACCACGTCACACTTGGAGGCCACTTCCACTAAATCAGCACTTTCTTCCCACTCCACTCCCTTTGATGTTAAATAGTCTTTTATGTCATCCTATAAATGTAAATATCAATAGAGAGACACCCAATGTTGTGCCATTACCAATACTAGTGCGAAGGCTAAAAATGGCAATGTATCTAGATTCATATGTCCAAATACATTGTGATTTTTCACCTCTTCTGATTTCAATGGCTGCTTGGGAATGAAATAGGAAAGAAAGTAATTTAGACTTGTATGCCATGATGAATCAAAATCAGAATGTTCAACAATTACCTTCATTTTTACCACATCAGGAGCGACGAAATAAATTTTTACATCCTTGTACTTAGCAAGCAAGTATGCCAATGAACGAACTGTCCTGCCATTCGCAAGGTCTCCAACAAGCCCAACTTTTATGCCATCAAGCTTTCCAACCTCTCTTCCAATGGTATAGATATCTAAAAGTGCCTGAGTAGAGTTTGAAAAAGTAGTAAAGCTTTAAGCTAAATTTATTGTAGTATTACTTTAGTTACACAGTCTATGACAAAAATAATACAAGACCTTGAGTCTGCCTTCAGAAGTCTTTCCAGCTTTACAAAGACAATAAGAAAAGCATTTAAAAAAGAAAACACAGAATATGTTCAAAAGTACTTTAAAACACTTGGCACTTGCAGACAGAGTCTATAAGATTATGATAGGTCTACATTTTAGTCTAAGGTATGAGTGCAGGCTAACATTTAGTCCTCTATGTTAAAATTAGAGCACATTACACTCACTTCATACTATGAAACTGAACCCCAACCCCGTCTGGCTTTAGATATTACACCCCATCCCAATTAACTAAGTTGATTAATAGCACTTCTGATTATGTTAATGGACATATTCCCTTTATGCTGGAATTTAATAATGATTAACACACACGTTTGACCGAGCGTCAAAATGATTACAGGGAGATGATTAAATATGATTGGAGACAGCATTCTTCACTGCTCGTTGTTATTGAATAGTTTATTAAAGGGGATGAGAGCAAAAGCCAAGCATGGCAGAAACAAAAATCATGTTCTATCTATAAAAAAACAGACCAGCATAACTCAATCTCAAAAGTTAGCGTAAAGGGGAGAATTACCCAAGCCTAATGTGGAGTATTTCAATCATATACCTAGCTGATATTGGACATCTTAATTCTTAATACACACTCCTCATGTCCAAGACTAGAAATCTATTGGTGACCAAACACCAAGACTGGATGGATTCTGATATCATATCAGAAATAGACTAAGTCTAACTCAAACCTTAAACCTAGCTCAAGGGCAAAGGATTGCCCTAGTCATAGAAGGAGTATTTCATACTTTTAGCCCATATGGGATATCTTAACACTCTTTTAATGTGTTTGGATTTTTCATAAACTCTGTAAAATAATCACTTTTTCTAAAATCTTTTTTGGTAATTTTTTTTATTTAAACTATTTTGGATGCAAAATAAGTTAATGCAAATACACACAAAGGCTAATTACAAATTCCTTGTACAGGCATGGATTCAATTGTGTTCATTGGGGTGCTTACAATTGAGCCGCAATCCATGTCAGTCGATGACTAGAGACTCATATCAAGTATGAAAATCTAGTCAGTCTTCGAGGGTGTGTTCTCTGGAAGTATCTCACAGATATTCTGTATGCAGTTATATGGAGCAAAAAAACACGAGTATTCATCACACTTTCTTAGGTGCATTATATTTTCAAGGAACTTGACTCCAAACAAGTAAATACATTAGAGGATAAAAGGAAGACCCAAAAGGTTGTTTCCTACTTCTTCTATTCTTCTTTTTAGTATGAATTCCAAAAGTAAAAGTTGAGTACTCCAAGAATTAGAACCTGAGACTCAGACCATATTTAAGGTAAATTATCTGGAAAGAGCCAAAAATACACCTCTAATAACTACTCAATAGCCTTCAAATTAAACAGAAACACAACAGGCATCCTTAATAGAAGCTTCCGTATAGAGAAATGGATCACCAATCAGATGGATAACCCAAACCAGTATCATCCAGCAGAACAATCCACCCTACATACCCAATCTATTTGTCATTCTCTCTGGAAATAAATGCCGCCCCCCGTCCCCCTTCAACATAAAGCAATTATTCACCCACACACACAAAAACTTCAGTTGCAACAAAATCCAGAATCCACCATCGCAATTTCATGCATACCTGGGTTGGATGTTGTCCAGGACCATCCCCTGCATTAATTATAGGGATGCCAGCTGTAGCAGCAGCTCTTCTGGCAGCACCACTTTCAAAATGCCGCATCACAATTATATCAGAATAACCCTCAATTGTTCTGATTGTATCTGCAGCGAAATCACACATAGAACCATTTAGGAAAAAAAAATAAAAATCCACATTCCACAGCAAACTTGAAAAGCAAGTAAAGGAAATTCACCTTCAAGAGTCTCTCCTTTAGCTGCAGAAGAAAATTCTCTAGCATTTTCAGTTGTTAAAACCTCTCCACCAAGTCTTCTCATAGCAGACTCAAATGAAAGTCTAGTTCTAGTAGAGGGCTCATAAAATAGTGTAGCCATAAGATAACCCTTTAAAATCTGGTTACCAGGAGAATTCTTTTCAATATTCTCCATTTCATGTGTAACTTCAAAAAGTGCATTGAGAATATCCCTATCAAATTGTTGAGCTTCAATTATATCATCAAGCTGAAACTTTTGCCCCACCGAAAAGGAAGGTGCACCTTCAATTTCCAAAACACGGCAATGGAATTGGAATGCATCTCTCTGCAAGATTCTTTTCTTTGATGAAGTATTTATGCTTAAAAATCTTGAATTTGGAGGGTGTAGTGATTTTAAATAACTAGGTTTAATAAAGGATACTTTGTTATGACAGCATATAGAATATCTGGGCCATTTTGTTATCTTTGATTTTGGAGGAAACAGCTCCATGGGTGCTGAGGAGGAAGAAAGAGAAGATGAAGCTGCCATTGCAGATCTAAATAAGCAAAAACATCGTTAGATGCTAAACAAATATCTATTTTTAACCCGTGTATAAAGTTGAGTAAGTTTCTATTAAAGATAATAAAATATTATAGAATTTAATGTATTAATGATATTATAATAATATATTTATACTAAAAATATTATTTTTAATTTTTTAACGTGTATAAAAATTGAACAAATATCATTTGCTAGGTAAGTTTTTTAGAGAAATGTTAAATACAAGTTAATAATAATTATTAGATTATATATTTACAAATGTTTAATTTTTGTAAAATTTTATATGCATAGTTTTTATAGTTATATTACAAGAAATAAAGGTTAAATTGATAGATTATATTTATAACAAAATTATTAAATATGTCATTTTATGAACTTTAATACTTATCTGATATTGGCGGTACACACATGTATATGCAGAAATAGATGTATAAATTAAATTTTAATATTTAAATTTTTAAAATTATTCAAACAATTATATTATATTTTAATTTAATCTTTTATACATTTATGATATTAAATTCTTTAAACATTAAACAGTATAAAAACAATTTTTATTTTAATTTAAAACTTAATACAATGATTGTTTTAATGTCAAATATAATAACTTTATAATACTAAAAAATTATATAAATTTTGATGATAAAAATTTATATAAATTTGTAACATTAAGTACATTTTTTTTTTCTGTTTGAATTTATAATAATTGATTTATTAATTAAAATTTAACACAAATAAAAAATTATTTAATGTTATTATTAATAAATATAAATAATTAATAATTTTAAAATAAATTATTTTTTATTTTATAAACCTATAAATCCTACGAATAAAAAATTCATTTATAACAATTTTTTTTCTAATCAATGAAACATTGTACATCAAGTAACAAGTATAATGGTTAGGTTGTATGTTTCTCACTTTAATAACTGATTTTGAATTTTGAATTTATCTTCAAGTGATAATAAATAGATTTATTTTAAATGTATTGAGATGCAGCTTTATTATTTAAGTAATTAAAAAGTAACATTAAATATAATTCTTTTTTTTTTAATATACATGTATCTCAAAATATGACCACAAAATAAATAAATAATATAAAGAATGCACAAAAGTATTAAATTAAATAAAAATGTTAATAAAAGTATATTATATAATTTATATTAAATTTAATAAATTAAAACTTTTTAAATGATTTATTATTAGTAAGAAATATTCTATTATACTAAATATGATTAAATTAAAAGCATAAATTCTTCAAAATCAATAAATGATGTATGTAAAATTTGAATTAAGGTTAAATTTTTAAAATACAGTGTTAGAGGTAAGGAAACTCACATGACATGACCAAAAAAGAGAGAATTAACTCTTAAAAATTATATTTAAGATAGTTTCTAAAATATTTGAATTTAAATATAGGATACCTGGTTGAAATATGCAATATAAGATAACAAATAAATCAAAATATTTAAGATTGTGTATTTGTTCAAGTATATTTAAAAAAGAAAAAAAACCAGTGAACAAATTTTTTTTAAGCATTAATATTTTATTTAAGATAAAATATGAGTATAAGAGCTATTTAAAAAAAATAAAAATACATGTCAAAAAATTATTAATGTAATTTATATATACAATTAAACTTTTTAAAAGTTCAGCTGCAAGCCACTTACAAGAACAGGTGAAACTTTCATTTTCTTCACTTGGCTTCATTCAACCAAATTTTGTCCATTTTAATTCCATTACTATCCAATTTATTTCTTACTACAGCTAGAAAACGAAATTTCACAATTGTTCACCATCCCATTTCGATCATACCCACTCAAATTTATTTCACTTTTATGTCTCACCTTTGTAAAACTAAAACTGATCTTAGCAGTATTTCAATAATTATTTGCCAGAAGTTGCTCACATGAAAATTCAAGTAAATGAAAGCAATTGCTCTCTCCACTGTTTCCAATTAAAATGAAAGGTGAATGCAAGGTATTCATTCATGCGTGATCTATAACAAGAGAAGAGAGAGCACTGTTCCAAAAACATTTTCTTACATAATCTTTATAATATTTTCAGTTATAAGTTAAAATTTGTTGAAAAGTACATAAGCAATTGCTCACTAATCCCATCCATTGTTTACCTACAGTCACAGGATCAATATTGAAGACCCTTATTTTCACTAATCCAAAACCATTTTCATGTGTGAGAGAGCATGCTAGTAAATTCCCAAAATCGAAATCCTGCCTATGGTTATGTCTTTGTCCTCCCTTTAATTGGTTGACGATAATCAAGTTCTAATTTGGTTTTTCGTTCATTTGGTCCATAATCAACATTCTTTTCTTCCCATAAGGTCAATTTCCTTTTCTACCTATTACTGAGAACCACAAAGAATGCTAGCATCACACACTCAATGTGATTGGTTAATTTTTTAAAAAAGTGAATAATTTATTATAGAAATGCTTTGACTCTTTTAAAACTGATTAATCTCAAAAAAATGTGTTAAAAAAATACGTTGAAAAGTGTACTATTATATTTTTCTTATTGTCATATATCATTTCGCTAGTCATGCTTTAAATATACTTTTTTCCCTATCTTTTTAAACACAGTTTTAATTACCTACCTATCGTCCTAAGTGGATTACCAGACACAACAACAGTTGCTCGTGAACATATTCGATAATTGTTAATTAAGTTAAATACGAATCCATTAACAAATCATGTCTTAAATTCCACCGACAGTTTGTTTGGATACACATTTTGATTGCTCTATACTCACATCTAGAATGCAAAAGCGTATACCCACGTCTCAGATTTAAAAAGGCAGATCAAACACTCACTGAATTAGTCGTGACTTGAGAAAATTTTTATCACAGCTTATTTAAATTCTTTTGTTTTTTTTGTTTTTTGTTTTTTTGTTCTTACAGAGCTAATTATATATCCTGATGTATTATCTCTCATGACAAATAAGTCATGTTCATTTTATACCATCACTTGTTACAATATAATTTTGCAGTTTAAATATAAAATACGAAGTTATTAGTATAAATGGGAGGGATTCAATTATCTGATTATGTTAGTGGTCAGCTTAATACAAAAGCCTTCAATTCTATGATTATGTTAGTGAACCTTGAAAAAGCCATCAAACCAGTATCAACATTGCAGCACAGCAGCGATTATGTCAGTGGCAGATTGCCAAAGCCAGTTGGCAAAATATTTGAAGAATATCAAATCTGTCAAACATAGAAGAACCTACTAACGTCTATATCATACCCATACACAATCAAAGCAATTTTCTTGCTAGAGTTCTTGACTAAGATGAGACAATTTGGGGAAGGACACCAGTGTGCTGAACAAGCAAATAAATATATGTAATGGTAACTGGATACAGCTTCCATCATAAATCTGATCCCAGTTATGTGCTAAATACTTGAAGATTCACACTACACAACTGTAAAACCAGCAAACTCATAATAGCCAGCCCCAATGTAAACAATTCAACAGGGTTCAGACAGCTAAAATTTAGTTTTGCCTTCAGTACTACTAGTCCTAACCATAATGCTCCAATCTTCAATGTAAATTGTAGAGCTTTCAACCGCACTTTGTTGACTATCAATAACAACAATTATTAGATCATAAACCCACCATTGCATAGGAATAAAAAAGGTTGGCCAAAAAGTTACACTGTTACTTCACGACATTCAAATGAACAGAAAACTATACCCTGACTAATCCCACTATTGTAGTTATCAAGGGAGGACACTAATGATAAAAAATGTAGCACAAGGCATATGAAAATATAAACCACAATTCAACATCAACAGTTTTGAGTCTTTTGACCAGTTACTATCTAAACTTATGATTTATGAAAATGGTTGGTGAAGATTTAAGAGTAGCAAAAGCAGACAATCAAAATAAGAATAACTTTGCAGTTTATTAAAGACATTATAATAAATAAAGAAACAAAAATAGAAAACCAAGAATCAGCAGTTGAATCTGAATTCCCGCAGCTTCTCTCTCACCCTCCCTTCTGACAGAGTTGCCTTTCAAGAAAGAGCAATTCAGGTAAGAGTCTTTGCTTTAAAGGCTAAACTCTGAATACTCAGCTTGCGTGCATCTTCCTCATTAAGGGGGTATCTAAACTAATTGACTTACAAATCATCACACAAACCCAAATTTTGACTAAAAATGTCTTCTTGTAACCAATCCTACCACAAGCAATTTAACTTTGTACACAAAACTTAAAAAAAAAAAAAAAAACGAAAAATGGTCAAAACATAGACTCAATCTCAACTCTCAACATTATGTAAAACGAAAAGGGTTTACAGAGCCAACTAGATTCATTATTTTTCCCTTTTCCAATTCAAAACCATAATTAAAAAAAAAAAAAAACCTTCTATTCATGTGACAACAACAAAGCAGCGCAAGTAAAACACAAACAAGCAGGAACAAGCAAAACACCAGTGAAAAAATAATCTACATTTAAACAATAATTGTTGGTTGAACTTGAAATAGCTTATTTAAAGTGTAACAAATGGAAACACTAAACAACAAACAATCTACCATTAGTTTTACACTATTCCATTACATGATATCATAACAAAGAAAACAAACAAACTTACAAATGAAACCCAATCCAATCCATGAATTCATCCAGTGATTCCATTGGGGTCATACATCCAAATTCTCCATCTGAATGCTGCTCTTAAGAGGCACATATTCTCCGAGGTACCCCCCAAGATGATCATGCAAAGCACTCTTATCAATCCCTTGATGATGATAACTCTTACACACATAATAAAACACGCTCTGCACCAACAACCCTACGAGATTCACAATCACCAGCAACCCCACCAAGAACCCTCCAACCACAATTCTGGCGAAAACCCCATAATTATCCCCACCGTGCACCACCACCACACTGAAAAACGCCCCAATCACCCCACAAATCACCAAATACACGCTCACCAAAACGGCAGCGTATTTGGTCCTCCCCTTCAACAACTCATAGCTCTTCCTCATCGCAGAGAACCCATAAACGGGTTCAAGCACGGAAACCACACTAGCAAGATGCCACAACGCAGTGATGTAAACGTGAGCAACGAAGAACAGCAAAAGGATAACAACAACAGCGAAGAAGAGCAAAACAGAGTTATTGGTATCGAGGGCAACGATGATGAGAACGAGGAAGAGAAGAAAAACGGAGTTGTAGAGGATCATGGTGAGGGTGACCCAGAGGAAGGTGATGAAGAGGCGTTTGAAGAGTTTAGGAATGGCAGAGAGAGTGGAAGAGAAAGAAACGGGTTTTGAGGTGTAGAGAGAAGCGACGGTAAAAACGACGGCGGCGGTGGAGAGGAGAGAGAAAGCGAAGAGGAAAATGAGGTAAGAGAACTGAATAAGGAGAAGAAGGGTCCATTCGTGAGTGGTTTGAGAAGGGTCATCGAAGGGTGATTGGAGTTGGGTAATGATTGGGTGGGTGAAGAGAGAGTGAGCTAAGATTGCGAACGAGAGAGGGAATATGAGTGTGAGGGTTATGAGGTAGAAGGTTTTTGGGGAGCGTTTTGGGATGGAGATTGATTCTCGTACGATTTCGGGGAGGTTCAGGAATTGCAGTTCCTCTGGGGCAAGATCCATTTTCTATGAACCAGAGAGAACCAGAAAGAGAGAATAAATCACTTTGCTTTGGGTTCAGATTTGCGTTTAAGAGAGAGAAAGAGAAGAATGATAGAGACGGTGGGGTAACCTTATTTTTTGTTTTCAGCTGACACGTTTTTGTGTTTTGTGTTTTATGTTTTCTGTTTTTGCAAAGATAATTCCAGATGTTGATGGTTGACCACTCCACCTACTGTTCATCTTTTTTTTTTCTCTCCATCCAACACCATGTTATGGTAAATTTATTCAAGTTATGTATTTTTTATTTCATTTTAATAAACCATTGATTTTTTTTTTCAGTTTTAAGAAATTGGATGTGTTTCACAAAATTAATGGATAAGTTGGTTGAAGGTTGAAATTTTATTTTATTAAATTAAAAGTATTTGATAAAATTAACTGTTAAGTCACTTGATAATATAAAATAATAAATAAGGGCATCATAGTTAAGTAGATTAAATTTAGTAATTCATTAATTGTATCTTTTGAAAAATAAATAATTTTATATTTGAAATTATTTATTATCTTTTAATAATGATAATAAGTTTTAACTTTTAATTTTCTATAAATAATTTGTTATAAAAAATTAATAAATTTTTTATATATTTGTTGATAGATTAATAAATTATAATTTTTAAAAATAATGAATATTGTAAAAAAAAATTATTAGCTGTGAATTTTTTTCCTGGTGTAACACAAGTAAGTGACCAAGTCACTATTTCTTGAAAATAAAATAAAATAGTATGAATAACATTAAAAAAAACGTTAATAATTACTATTTCAATTGCTTTTCTAAGTAATGTATTTTTTATTAAACAAGTTTTGTCAAAGCACTCATTATCTCGATTCATTTCGTTTTTTATAAAAAAAATTTAAAAGTTTATAAGCAATTAGTGAAAAAGTTTAAAATAAAACAAATAAGTAAATTAAAGGTGTATATATTACACTGGTTTTTTTTTAAATTACATGTCCTCTCTCCTAAAAAAATAATAAAATACATCATAATTTAATATATATTAAAATTTGTTTATAACAATGGTAAATATATGGTTAACACTTTTTTATTAAATAGTTTTTGATTCTTTTAAAATTTAACAAGCTCAAAGCATCTTTTTTCTGAAATAATAAACACTTGTCATTTTCACTTATATTCTCTAATTTTTACATTCTTTCACGTTCAACCTTTTGTTTAAATGTGTTAAAACTGCAAGCTATTTTATGTTTTGTATATTTTATTGAAGGTCATTTTTTTTATTTACGGTTCATTATTTGTGATTGAAATATGTATTTAAAATTTCAAAACAACAATAAGTATTGACTTTTTAATGAAAAAAAATGTGACGAGCTCATTTAATTTTTTTTGAAAAATGATAAAAAAAAGTATAAAATACATTTTAAAAAGTTTTTTTAATATAAAAATGTAAAATAGATATTCAAAAATATTTTAATAAAATTGTAAAATAGATTAATCATCATGCATTTTTTAAATTTTCGGGAGATAAAGTTATATAATTTTAAAATACAAGATATAATAGGGTAATATATGTAATTTTTTCAGATAATAAAATATGTTTTTTTTTCTAAAAAAAATTACTTAACATAGTAAAAATATAATATATTTATAAACATAATATTGTTTAAGAATGCTCCTTAAAAATACTATCGTTTGAGAATAATTCTAAAGATGCCATATTTTAATAATTATTACTTATATATATAATCATTTAATATACACTTTAGCTAGTTGTACAAATAATTTATCACACAATTTTAATTTAATTAATTATAAATTATAATTTTTCAACCAATTTATTAATTGTAAAATACAAACTTTCATTTATTTTTTCAAATAACTTAATAACTTATCAAATTTATAAATTAACTAAATATGTTTAGAATAACAATTTTATAAAATAAAAAAGCTGACTTAGGTGTAAAAGGTGGGAAAAGGAGGAACCAAGGGAGGGAAGCGGCGAGGGTGAGGGAATGAATAGATAAACCTGAAATTGCAAAATCGTAATTTGGAGCGCATTGCATTGCATTGCCATTCATTTTCCCTTCTTCCAATTGCAGCGAAGGAGAGAGAGAGAGAGAGAGAGAGAGAGAGAGAGAGAGGTTTAGTCAATTAGGGTTAGAGAAAGAAGAACAAAGAGAGTGTGGTGAGAGTGTGGATGGGGAAGGAAGAAGAGGAAATGAGGGGAGAGATAGAGGAAAGACTGATAAACGAAGAGTACAAAATTTGGAAGAAGAACAGTCCCTTCCTCTACGATCTCGTCATAACCCACGCGCTCGAGTGGCCGTCACTCACCGTCGAATGGCTCCCCGACCGCCACGAACCCCCAGGCAAAGACTATTCCCTCCAAAAAGTGATACTCGGAACCCACACCTCAGAGAATGAGCCCAATTACCTCATGCTCGCCCAAGTTCAATTACCCCTCGACGACGCCGAGAACGACGCCCGCCACTACGACGACGACCGCCCCGACGTCGGTGGCTTCGGCTGCGCCAACGGCAAGGTTCAGATCATTCAACAGATCAATCATGACGGCGAGGTTAACCGCGCCCGTTACATGCCCCAAAACCCTTTTATTATTGCTACTAAGACCGTTAGTGCTGAAGTTTTCGTCTTTGATTATAGCAAGCATCCCTCTAAGCCTCCCCTTGATGGGGCTTGTAACCCTGATTTGAGGCTTAGGGGTCATAACACTGAAGGGTATGGCCTGTCCTGGAGCAAGTTCAAGCAGGGGCATTTGCTTAGTGGTTCTGATGATGCTCAGATTTGCTTGTGGGATATTAATGCTTCTCCTAAGAATAAGACTCTTGAGGCTACGCAGATTTTTAAGGTTTTTGTTAATTGGGGGTGGGGTGGGTTAGGGTTTTTTTTTTTTTCATTTTGAATTTTGTTTGTTTGGGCTGATGAGTGTTTTTGTTGTGAATAGGTGCATGAGGGTGTCGTGGAGGATGTGGCTTGGCATTTGAGGCATGAGTATTTGTTTGGCTCTGTTGGGGATGATCAGTACTTGCTCATATGGGACCTTCGAACGCCGTCTGTTAGCAAGCCTGTTCAGTCTGTTGTTGCTCATCAAAGTGAGGTGCGTCGTTGATGGATGAAATGTGTTGGTTTGTGGAAATTGATGTGAGGAGTTAGGGAGTTTTTGTCAGGATTCGTATGAGCTGTGGAGGGATAACCTGTTTCTTGATTTGTTTTCTGATGTGCGCTTGTTTCATAAAGTATGAACTTAGGAGAGGGAATTGGGGTTTTTGGGGGATTTTTTGGCGGCGTCTTATGAAAATATAGCTCTTTTTTTACTTGTGTCTTTTGAAGTCTAGAAATTAATGAGAAAGTTTTTGCCTGGCTAATCAATCACAGACGTGGTAAGTCTAATGGGAGTCAGTGGTGACATGTTGAATGAAAGACTTGATAATGGGTGATGATAGAAAACTATGTAAGATAAACGCATAATTTCTGACCGTGGCTAAGATTAAAGAGTTGGCTCTTTCGTCTAATGTCACTTCTATTGTTTTTCATTTATTTGCTTGCTCAGTGACCTTCTCAAATTTTCAATCTGTCAGCTCCTTGTGTTGTCATTCTCCACTGTGCTTTAGTTGCTTCACTTGCTTGTTAAATCCACCATATTTTGGCAGTTTCCGTGTTTTCAATGTGCTCATACTATTTTTCTTCTCAATATCATGAACTAATAAAACTTTTTTATTGGATATCTTATCAGGTTAACTGCTTGGCTTTTAATCCCTTTAATGAATGGGTTGTTGCCACTGGTTCTACGGATAAAACTGTGAAGTTGTTTGATCTGCGGAAGATCAGTACTCCCCTTCACAACTTTGACTGTCACAAGTAACATATATCCTCATATGTTTCTATAAATGCTCTAGACTGGATGTACTTGTATTAAGCAGTTATTGATATGGATTGTTTTTCTTGGGCTCAACAGGGAGGAGGTTTTCCAGGTTGGCTGGAATCCAAAGAATGAGACTATCTTGGCTTCTTGTTGCCTTGGTAGGAGACTCATGGTGTGGGATCTTAGCAGGTATTGCTTGATAAAAGCATTGTCGTCCCTGGAGGTTTTAATGGATTAATTACTGTTTGTTGTCCGGAAATGTTTACTGAGTCATGGTACCGTAGTGAAATTGTTATGGTTGATAAAGCCTAAAGCATATTACTGATGCTTCCCCTAAAGTTATATGTTTGCTATACTTTGTTCTATAGTTCATTTAAGCCATTTTGACCAAGTTGTCACGAGCAAGGTGGTTAAAATCATGTGCTGGGTCATAGGATTGTGCGATTCAATGATCCTGGGTGGCCTGAGTCTGCTGGCTTGTACGCAGACACAGGATCACAAAAGCTGGAGCATGAAATTGCTTGGAATGGACAATCCCACCATGTTTAGAAAAGCCTGGATACTTTAGCCTGAGCTATTTTGGGTGACCTGGTTGGAAAATTATGTACGAGGGTCCTAAATCAACCCTGGGACTCCATGAACAGGACCCTAAAACACGATTTGTAGCCTCTCAGCTAATGCTCCATTCTCTGATCACCCATCCTTTGATGCTGGGGATGGTGCTGGTTGTTACTACCCTTCTTCTATCTGTGTTCTCAATTGTTTTTTATTTCATTCTGTCCTTTATATCCAGTTGCAACTTGTCTGGTCCTTTTTTTTTCCGATCAGCACAATATCTCTACAGTTTTCTAGGTGCAGGCTGGGTCGTGTACGATGGCCAAGCTTTAATGGCTTTCACATCAAGAGTTTCGTTAGAATTTTAAAATCCATTCCTAGGTCTAATAGGTTCGTGTCTGTTTAGGGGGAAAAAGCTTGCTTAGAATTTAGGTTGCTCTCATCTGTTGGTTAGTGTTTACAGTTTCATACGCTAAATTTTTTGACCCATATGGGTGAATCGGGGTCTGCATGCCACTTGGGTGACAGCTCCTTTGTTCAAGAGAATTAATTGGACAACAATTTATCTGTCTGCACCCTTGGATGGCTCCTTTCATTCCTCTGAATGTAGATGACCATTGAGGATTGAGGACTGAGGACTGATTTACGGTGAAAATGAATTATTAACAAAATACCAATAGTTTAATGATAATAAATAAATTTTTTATATTTCAAATGTTTGTCTTAATAACGTGGTTCATTCATTTGTTCTGCAGGATTGATGAAGAGCAGTCACCAGAGGATGCCGAAGATGGTCCACCAGAATTGCTATTTATTCATGGTGGTCATACAAGCAAAATATCTGACTTTTCTTGGAATCCATGCGAAGATTGGGTTGTTGCTAGTGTCGCTGAAGATAACATACTTCAAATATGGCAGATGGCAGAGAACATATACCATGACGAAGATGATCTGCCAGAAGAGTCAACAAAGGCTGCCTCCTGATGTAATTGTTCGTTGTGATAGTGTAGTGTGCAATATAGGTGGAGTGTTTGGGATTTGGGGAGCTTTTCCATATTTGTATTCGTGCCGTTACTCCTTTTTTCATCTCTTACTTGTAGCTGTGTTTTTGTATGGTATAAACTATGACTGCCTTAACCAGTAGCATGCTGAACAATCGAGACCTAGGTGTAACTTCATGGTAAGGTTTCCCATTTAAGTTCTCCAAATACCTATGTCCAGTTGTTCTCGCGATTATAATCTATCCTACTTACAGCTGTGCATTATCATTTATTTTTTAAGTTTGCACTTTGGAGATACTTTTGTTGTCAGAATTTGTAGGCCACTTGGATCCCAGCAATTCTATAGTCAAGCCAAGTCTAAACCTTTATAATAAATTTAGTTTTTCTATTCATATAACTTGAGTTTGAAACATTTATTTTTTCCTTGGGTGAAAGAAATAGGTTAATGGCATTTACATTAAATAACAAAACTTACATTGTTTGAGAATCATTAGAACGTTCAAAATACATACAAAATAAAACCTGAAAAACCTTTGAAAACCTCAAACAACAAATATGCGTTCCTAATTCTTCTCACATAATAACCTACATATAAGCAATTTGTTTATTCCTCGGAAATTTCTTCTTTTTCCCTTTATGTTATTATAATTAACTTTGTTGGTACCGTAATCATGTTTCATGAGTACTACAGAAGGGCATTAAATTCACTAAGGGTGGTTTTTAGCTTGATAGAAGGTGACGATGTGGACATAACTTGAGCTCTGAGGAGAAAAGGTTAATGAAATTAAAGGAGATAGTAGTGGGTGAATAAAGGATGAGGAGGAGGAAGCAACAAAAAAAGAGGAGAGGAAAGAGTCAATAGAGATGGATAACGAAGAAGAAAGAAAAACCCTCAACTGTCGCAAAGGAGAGTGGTTACAGTATCTATACAAAAGTTGGTCCAGCCTTAATCTCTCTGCCAATGAGACGAGATACTTTCAAGACTCTATAATGCCTAAAAACTTTATTTTAAAGAAATTAAACGTTATTATTTGGAGGTACGATACTTTTTTTTGGTCGATGGATGTACCAACTTCTAAAAATAAATTAATTCAGTAGAAACAATTTGGCAAATCTTGTCACAAATATAAGATTGAATGCGTAAATGTCAGTCATCAATTTACGAAATCTGTTCACTTGTATTAGACATGAGTTGTAAGCCCTTATAACTACGAGTACTTTTGTTTCTTTAACACACAAAAGTTTGATTTAATTATCATAATTTACCTAAATATTTGAAAAATATTTTTTCTCCATTTTAACATCGCAAGTTCAGTTAATTAATTCTCATTATTTTCTTACAGAAATGAGCAATAGCAACTCAATCATCACCAATTCATATTATTTCCTCATTCATTGCAAATTAATTATTTTATCTTACATATTTCTTATTTCTTTACCTTCGTACCCTATCTATCACAAGTATCTTGATTCTTTCTCATTGGCCTTATTTATCATCTTTTCTTACAGCTATTGGGAAAAACAGTGACAAAAATGTATAAACAAAAACCAATTTCTTGATCATAAAATTGAAAACAATAAAGATCCACAACAAAGTTGCAAAAAGGATTATCCTTCCCTACTTGTAAGGTAAGTTATGTTAATTCTATCATTTATTTATCATTAGTTACAGGAGATATAATTAAAAACATATCAACAGCCTCACAATTTATTTTTTTAATTAAAAAAATCACAATTTAGGTGAGCACTATCATAAGGCACTTTTTAGCATTCTCCGATTTAAAATGTTTTTCTTTTGCTGTGCAATGTAATTTAGAGCCTTGGGTTTGGGGTTTGGAAAAGTTAACGGTTAAGATATTTTTTTATTATCCATAGCAAGTTCTTAATCTAGAATAGTTCTAGATTACACAGTTGGTATTAACTAAACACACGCTAACTTGTAACAATTTGAGCAGGCAAGTTGAGATTCAAATTGTCTTCCCAACAAAAAGTTTTCATACCTAGAATCTCTAGCTCCTGTCAGTTTGTCCGTAACAGAGCGCAACCAGTGATGCAAAAGTTACCAGACAACATATAAGATCAACATTTATACCTAACTAATCTTAAATGTTAGTAGCGCATTACTCAAAATGTAAAACGGTACACATTATTTTTCCTCAAAGCGCCGCAGTACTGACACAGCAAAGTTTTGTTGCCTACAAATCAAATTTATCAAGAATGAGAATGTATTAACAAATCTAACATGGCATGACTGACAGGTATAAGCAAATTCTAACAGACAGAATTAATTACAAAAATAAAAAATCTTTAAATAATAACATAATATTTAAAATCCTATATGGAAAGGAGATATATGAATGCTAACAATGCTAAATTTTATGAACTATGGGTATGATTGCTTTGTGGGAATATTCTGTGTTTCCATTTTTTATTTAATAATGATTACCCAAAAGCACGTAGTTTTCACTTTTCAGATATTGGGTAAATTTTGCTCCTCTCTCCTGATAGATATTTAATTAGACTACCCTCCCTTCTACTTTAACACCCCTCTACCCTAGAGAATATGTTAATGTCAGTTCATTTTTAATGTAAACGAACTCCATAAGGACAAGTTTTCTCTCTTCGATTCTCAAAATCATTGGTAACTAGTTGTAAACCTCTACTTTTGACTTTTGGACTAAATAAGAAACAAATAAACTGACATGCATAATTCTAATTATAATGCCTAGGTCACAAAGACCATATGGTAACGTATCTGAGAGACTGACTTACTTTCCTTCTCTGTGCTTTGGGCTAGGGCGAGAATACTTCAGATATCCATCCCAAGGAACCTTTTTAAGCCCAGCACGAAGTGAGATTATGTCTCTCACCCTACACCAATGAAATAATGTTATACCGTTTCAACACCTTGAAGCAAAATGTAGTTGTTTATGTACATGCTATCACATACTGCATATTAGATACAATCTGGAACAAAGAATTTTTACCTCTCAGCAAATTCAATGGGTGTCTCTCCTGGCTTCAGATTCTGTGGCTCCAAATACCAAACATCACAAACTACAGCCCAAGATGTCATTAATTGCAACAGATGAGTAGTGAATGATTGCCTGCAAATGTATGAGATGCAGCAACTTTATACAGCAAGAAAATGGTGAAAGAATAGAAATAGAAATAATTAACATGTCACAAGCATCTTCTTACTTTCGACTATTCCAAAAAGCATCTACAAAAATTTTATTGTACTTGATTGCAACTGGGCAAACTGTACAGCCAAGTTCAAATGCACCCTAAACGTCAAATTAGAAGAGGCTTCAATTAAAACTTTCAGACTACAGAAATTAGAATATAAATCAATCGAGTCAAAATTAAAGCAGAAAGCCAATTATATAAGTAGAAGTGTAAAACTCGGCATTTCACATTTACTGCAATAGCAAATGTTCAAATACCTTCTTGAACATGACAGTGTAATGATTATTTACACAAGTTCCTTCAGGAAATATGAGAAGAGGGTTATTGTCCGCTCCCTGAACATGTTCCCTCAATCTGAAATATGAAAAATTATGTAAGGAAAAGATAATAAGATTTGAGGTATATATTTCCCAACATTTTCAATTATACTTACTTCCTTGCCACAATTTCACGATCCTTTGCCTCTGAGCGATTGAACTCTATACACCCAACACTTTCCAAAATGGTGCTCTGCAATAGTCCTATAAATGAAATGAAGAAGAAATGCATCAGGTGTAATTGTGATTGTAAAGTGCCTATCAAACTTGATGAAAAATTGAGCTGGATGAGTAGACATACAAGGAAAAATTAGTTTAGGAACAAATGTACTACAGGAGAAAGAAGTAGTAGCACCTATTGACGAGAGGTGACAAAAAAAGGGTCTAGGATAATTAATTTGTTGCAAACCACACAAACGCGAATACAAATATAGAGAACAGGAACGAAAAAAGGGCTGCAAATATAGGAAGAATATTATTTATAATAAGTAACGGAAACAAACGGAATAAAATGCACTAGGAGAGCAATATCTCCTAATACCCCAGAGCTAGGCTCCTAATAGAGAGCAATAGCTGCTCTATCTTGCAATAGCGAAAGAACAGAATCAACATAACATCCTACCCCTGTCTCATTGTGCCTAAATAATGGAATATTATTCTTTCTCCCTAACTAACTCTGCCAGCACAGCATTTCATTTGTCATTTTCTGATTTCTTCTTTCTTCTCACATAGACAAGCCATTCTTTGGGCCGTGTAACTGCTTCTTGGACTAACATTTCCTCTGGCCCAACATTGCCTTTTGGGTCCCCATCATAATTCAGCTGTATGATGAGAAGATCAAAGAATTCCCTAGTGTAAAAAGTAGATGAAATGGAAGATAGTTTGGCAATAAGCAGATTCATGCACAAGTAGCTGACTGCACCAAGGGCCCAATTGTTTAAGCTTTTCAAAAAAGTGATTTAGATTGTGGAGAAAAGTACAAGACCAAAAAGAAAAAACTATTGCATAAAGTAATTTATTATTAGAGATTTTGTATAAAGTAGAACTTATTTTTTGTTTGACTATAATTATCTATTAAGAAACTTTAGTTTAACTTACTTTCAAAAGCTAGTTTGTAAGAGGATGACTACTCAAATTCTTATAAAGAGTATTTTGACTTTATTTTTAGCTAACGTGAGATTTCTTAACACATACTTTTTACGTTTAGGACTGGACATTTAGTACGTGAAATTAATAAGATTAAACATATGACGGTGGCCCAATAGGATTTGACATTCGTGAACAATTCAACATTCAAATTGAATAGACTTTGATACTATGTTAAGAAATTTGAATTTAACTTACTTCCAAAAGTTAGCTTATAGGAGGACTATACAAGCTTTTATAAGAGTCAAAATACTCTTTATAAGGGATAGGGTAATCCCAATGGAATAAAGTTCTTTTGAGTCTCCTTTGATTCTTTTTTATCGGTCTAAAAGTCATGTAATCTACTCTCTTTATATGTGATTAAACCACCTTATCCAATTTTCAGTTGTAAATAACCAATTATATTCAGATTCCTTTTCAAAATAATAAAACAAAATTTTAAAATTTGAAAATAGAAAAAGTAAAGATAATGATTAAATTTGGTAGGAAGTTAAGATATTGAAGAAAAAAACGATTTGAAAAAAAAAATTCAAAATTCAAAAATTTCAAATTAAGAATATGTTGATATTTTGGGATGTTAGATGAGTGAGTTAATGGATAAAAACTTACTTAAAAAAAAAAATCAAAATAGTCAAAGTAGTGTATAGATTTTTAGGAGTGAATGAGATAATAAAAAAAATTGATTGATGGTCATCAAAAAATAAGAGATCATGGAGATGATGAAGTCTTTATAAAAAAAAAAAAATATTAAAAAGGATTTAGGAAGAGTAAACTATTAATAGGAAACAAGTGTCCTCACAAAAAGAGGAAGGAGGGAAGATTTTTAAGAGCACAAAGAAACTATGAGAAATTCATAATTCTCATAGTACATTTTCTTAAAGAACAACGTTGGAGAGAGTGAGAACGAAAACGCAATGTAATTTAAATCTTTGAAAAGTCAACAAGAAGGAGGAACAAAGAGCAAAGGTTAAAGAACGAAGCACAAACCCTAGCAAAAGTGCATCAAATAAGGTTTATTTTATCTCTTTACACTGTTGGTTATATTGTTAATCTTTTTTTGTTGTGTTGATTTCATTTTGTTTATATTATCAATCCTTTTGATTCTATTTTTAAGTGAAATAATAAAACCCTAAGAAAAAAAAACACATCAAATAAGGTTTTCTTTATCCCTTTGATCTTTTGGCTGTATCATTAATCTTGTTTTGTTGTGTTAATTTCATTTTGTTTGCACTCTCTTTTTTTTATTCTTTTTCTTAGTGCAATAATAGACCCTAATAACAAACACATCCAATAAAGTTCTCTTTATTCTTTTACCCTTTTGGTTGTATCATTGATCTTGTTTTGTTGTGTTAATTTCATTTTGTTTGCACTCTTAACTTTCTTTTGGTACTTTTTCTAAATGTAATAATAAACCCTAAAAATCTAATCTTGTAACATAAACAAAAGAATTATTTTTTATTGACTTTTTTCTTTTATTGATCTTTCTTTTATGAACCAATACAATAAAAATAAAATCTTATCATTTTTAGTGACCTTTTTCTAGTTTTTTTTTTCTTTATTTCTCTGTCATTCTTCTTTTTTTTAAACCAATGAAATAAAAATCAAATCTTGTGATTAAACCATTTTTTTATTAAATTTTTCTGTTCTTAATTGTTCTTTTCCCTTTTTTTTTTGTTTCCCATATGATTTAATTCGAATTTGACCTGGATCATACATCTAGATGTAGTGAATGAGTCTATCATTAGAATTTTTTTGCATACATAAAGACTCAAATCCGAGACTTTGTTTAAGCTATACCGAGCTGCTTGCTAATAATAATAATTAAATCTTGTGATAAGCTATAAAAATATTAGAATAATAGTTTTTTTTTTCTCTTTATTTTCTTTCTTTAAGAGCTAATAAAATAAAAATTACTAAACATTAAATTTCATGATAGGCCATAAATTTCTCTGTTTTTATACATTATTAAATTCAAAATTACATAAAGTATAAAAAAAGTCTTTTGAAGTTTTAGAACAGGGAAAATTTGTTTAAAATATTTTGGAGTTGACGGGTGGATCATTTTCTTGCTCTTATATATATCCTAAGTGCAATGAAAAAATTAAAGTCACGTAGTTTTCTTTAAAATAAAATTTGGATAAGTTTCAAATATTTTTAAATATCTAGTTTGAATGATGAAAAGAAATATTTTAAAAATTTGAAAGATTAAATTTAAATTATTAGGGGATTAAAAAAATTATTTCTTATTTTAGAAATAAATTCACTTTTGCATAAGATTCAAATTAGCACATGACTACTCAACATAAATGACTTCCAAATCCAAATCTGATTTTAAAGAATATTTTCTTAATTAAAGTTTTTTCAATCTTTTCTTTGATAAACTTTGATAACGACTTCCTATTGTCATTTTTTCTTAAATTAATTGCAACCATTTTTCTATCCACTTCTTTTTCTCTGCACAATTGTTGTCTTGTTTTGACCCCAGTTGTGACTTCAGTCATCTTAAGCAAGTGCAGTAAAATGTTTAGAAGTGAATTTTTCATGAAAAATGTTAAAATAGACTCTCGGTGAAATAAAGTTTGGTTGTTATGGATATTCTTTAAATCATCCTTGCCTGTTCATCATGTAACCTCTTACTGAGAACCATTAAGGGACCTAAAAAGAGATAGAGAGAGACCTAAAAGAATCTTAAAGGAAGTTATTAAAAAAGACATTTTAATTAATAACAGTTTTGAGAATTTGGTCTTCAATAGCATCATGTGATGTATGTAGCTTACTTCACTTAATAAGATAATGCTTGGTTATTGTATATTATGTACATTATTGACATTCCCTCACTTGAAAAAACTCTCATTATGATAAGAATTCTATAATATATTGGAGGTATCTCAGAACAAGTATGGAATGTGTTAACATTGTTGTATTAATTCCCAAAAACCAATTCACCCAAGATAAGGTAAGCCACAAGCAAATATAGATTAAAAAATCTATGCATTGATGATAGAGACAAGGTTTGATGGGTATTTAAGGCAAACACAATAGCATTATACACTTACCAACCCATCCAGGATGCTTCTGCATAATAACAGCAAATGCAGTCATCTGTTCTAAGATTATGAAATCAATCATGGAAGTATGATTGGCCACAAAAACCTGTTCAACAGAGGAAAATCCAAATTATTAATAAATGACATTCACATTTTTATGGATAAGTGAAAATAAAAACACGGTAACAATAACTTCAATTTACATCAGACAAACCTGTTTTGGTCGCATGCTAGGCCTTGGACCATGGTACTTGACAACCCCAGTCCAGGATGCAACAAAGAAACTGCACATCATCTCCACCAGACACCTCTGAAAGAAACAAGAATTGAGCAATTTCAGAGTGCATTAATTTGATACACAGCCAGTCAGTATTGGAGTTGCTATTATCCATCAATGGAAAGGAAAATAAAGAGTAAGTTAGAAGATGTATACATCTTATGCAGTGCACTCTGCTGCATACAGCATCCACCAATCATGTAAATATATATTTAAAAAATGAGGGAAAAATTTGATGTCCACCAACAAATCAGCCAAAATTTGTTGCATTCACATTATAAAATAAAAATAACAGCTTTAGATAACCTGTAATTTTTATTTTTCAACATCTACTGGTTCTTCCGTTTGTTTAATTATCCATTTAAAGTTTTTTTGCAAGCATTCAACTGCTTTTCTATTTCCACTAGAGCCACTAGGCTGACGAGTACTTAGATCTTCCAAGAGAAAATCCTTCAACTGTGATAGTAAAATTAATACATGTTAAAAGATGTTTTTCATGATGGATGAGGCAAAGTGAATTGAAGCCAGACAATGGGTATTTTGAATTAAAACGAAATGAAGTGAAAGCTCACTATAACATTAAAATGAAAGTGGCCTATTGGCACCAAGTCTCAAACCTCCTTTTTAATATCAATAGTAAACACACAATATACAAACAATATGTAGAACACAAGCAGATACTAAATATTTGGACATTGTATGCCTTAAAATTTTAAACATTAACAGCACATTTATCAATTGTTTTCCATTCAGAACCAGCAAGACAGCTGAGAACCAGAAGTTCATTTTATGTGTTAAGATAATCTAAATCCGAAAGTTGAAGTCTTTCTCTTTTACTTTTATGGACTTAGTCAGTTCAAATTTAAATGCTGCTTTCCTAGTGTGCATAAAGAAACAGAAATTTATGTTCAAGCCAAGAACAAGCTGGATAGATACCTCAATTTTTTTCCTCAAATCATTATTTCCTTTCAGAAGGAAGTGCACCGGAATGAAAGATGAAAGAAATATTATCCATCCTAATGTCAACACTAGAACCCTGCAGAGTCAAATAGGATTCATAACAAGGCCAGAAAAAATTACAGTAAAGTAAGTAATTAACACGAGAGGCACAAAGAAGGACTAATGGAGTGAACACAAATATTATGTCTGAAATCACAAAATTAGAAAATTCATTTGATTTATAAATGAAATTCTTTTGAGGGTACTACTCAAATTTTGTGGGATTTGAGTTTAGTTTTAATTATTTAAATCCACAACATTGTCCTTATTATACTTTGAGATAGAAATCATATTTGAAGGGTTAAAAAGTAAAATTATTAAAATAAAATGAATTCAGTTAAATTTTAATGAGTTCCAAACATGGGGATTGGTTCTATTTTTTCAAACGATTCCAAACACAAGGAAGAGGAAATTAAATTTAATTAAAGTTAAAAATAAAATCATATCTTAATTTTTTTTTCTAAAATGCTGTCAATTATGATTTCATATGTCTATAAGCAAAACTAGCATTGAAAATTAGCTAGGCAAACTCATTATTGAATGATTTATCAAGTACTACAGCATCATGCACAACATGTAAGAACATATAAAAAAGAAATAAACTAACCTAGTAGGGAACAGAATCAAATATCGAACTACAACTCCACAGCACCACAAAGGAAACAAATAGACATTCCAGTTCCAAGGTTCTGGAGGATTTGACTTGAAGCATCTTGTGAATGAATCCTATCCAACATATATCCAAAGACAGAGAGCAAAATCTTAGAGATATTTCAAAAAATGATATGTCTAATGGTGTTGGGGTTGCACATAGAATCTGAGATATCAAGAGGGAAGACAGAAGCATCGTCAAAATCAAGATAAGATTATAGAATCACTTGATCTTGTTTTGGATGCTTCACCATGCTGCATTGCACTTGGAATTGGGAATTTGTGGATTGGTGTGAAATCAATTATCATACTAACAAGAATATAAAATCACATGATCTTGTTTTGGAAGCCAAGCTGTGCTGCATCACATTTGGAATTGGGAATTTGTGGGATCGGTGTGAAATAACAATCACAATAACAAGTTTGTGGGATCTGCAATTTTTGGCCATACAAGTTTGTTTCATGCAGCTGGGATTGTGGGTCAAGTTTTGCAATCTGGATCGCAGAAAAGACCCCTAATCATCTCATTCCCTTACCTGTGCATAACTATCATCCTATTCGCATCCCCTCTTTGCTCTTTGTTGTCTCTCCCACTCTCTGACTCCATTGTTCTCTTTGGTCTCTGCCTTCTATTTTGGTGTTCTGGTCTCTATTTGTCTGTTCTCTCCGTATGGCGTTCAGTGTTTGTGGAAAGAAATTGTCTTCAAGTGCTGGTACTAGTGGGGCTGGCCGCAATTGCAATGGTAACGCAACTGTTGCAAGTGGACAGCTCTCTCTTCCAATTTTATTTATAATATGTGACTTAATATGAGTTGTATGTGATGTGACCTTATGATTATGAATCTTCAACTTTAGTTAAATGTTGTGATTTAGATATTATTTGTTTTATCTGTTATTTTCTATGCATATGTTTAAAGTACAATGTTGTGATTCATGTTACGATCCTGCAGTTTACAATCATCCATTCCCTTTCCCCAATCCTAGGTAGGATTTCAATTACAACAACATTGCAAGACAGCTTATTGCAGCAGGTCAAAATTTAGTTTTAAAAAAGGCTGAATTCATCAAGTTTGGCATTGAAATCTCTCTATAATAATTTCATCATTATAGTTTTTCTAAAGAAAGTAACTGATACACTGAAACCAAAAATCTTACATCTACAATAGCACCTGCTGCCTCAGATAGACTAGGAGAAATGTCAAGCAAATCACACCTGAAACATAGAAATTGAAAATCGGAAAATCGCATTGCCGTGAGATTTTCAAAAAGATGGGAAAACATTTCTCCATTTCACTATTTCTTACTTCTCGCCGTTGCTCAGAATATAAACAACATTAAAAGCAAGACATGGAAAAAGAGGAGGCGCATACAAGCGAAGCTTGCCATGACATTCTTGTTGAACACTGGATCCAGAAGGTAGGTAATCTTCAATGTTGGGTCGATCAAGGTCCAATTCAGAGCTTGAAGGTTTGAGTTTCCCAGTGTCACTCATCTTTGTTACGCTTTCACCACCGCCAGAAACGTGTGGCTAAGGCACAGCTTCTAATCCTGAAATACGTACGAGCCCCTTTTCACTAAAATCAGAGAAAAATTAACCGCTTCAATCAAATCTTAAGAAAATTAACAGATTCCACCAATAGTTGCCGCAATCAATCAAAATTCTTCCATGCAATCAGACACAGCATTTCTGAAGCTAATATATGAAACGGAACGATTAATTAATACATTAACTTTGAAGATAAGACAGAAAAAAAACCTAATGCTTATTTTCCCAGCAACCGAATAATTTACAAAGCATAAATATAACAATGTATTGAGATGGCAATGGGAGATTTCAATAACGGGAAGAAAGAAAAATAATGAAGAGAAAGAGCTGGCGGGCTCTTTGACAATGGAAAAAGGGATTCAGGTAACGTGAAGACGGTGAGCGCGATTGCATCGAAAGTTGAAGAAACCAACTCCAATGAGAGAAGGAGGAACGTATAGAGGCAAAGAAAGTGTCAGGGCTGTAATTTCGTAAATATTTGGGGGTAATTTTGTCTTAAGACAACATGAATTTCATCCGGGTCGTTGTGAAAACGCCTACCACGCGCCAACTTGGATAAGTTCGTGTTTTTCATGAGTGGCTCGGTCCCCCTCCATTCCAACCTTCTTTTATTTATTAATATTTTTCAATCAATTTAAATTAAATTAATACAGTTATGTTTGAATTTGTTTAGTTTAGGCTATTAGATTAAACTAAAAAAAATTATTTTAATAAATATTATAATTTATATTATTACAAAATATAAAATTCTTTATTTTGTTAATAAATTTATTTTATAAAGAGAATAAGAAAAATAATAAAAAAACAAACTATAAAATATTTATTATAATTTATAGAAGGATAGGAATATCTTTATCTTTCAAAATTTCCTGTCCAACCTAATTTCTTCGTCCACAAAATTCGATGTGATTTTGATTACATGTTTTTGGAGGGATAATTATAATTATCTTTCAAAATTTTGTGTATAATCAGACTATAGTAAAGTGAATGTCTCTTCCTCTTGCTCATGTGAAACTAGATGTAGATGAATTTGTGTCAAAGTGAAACTGGTTGTAGAAACATGTTCTGTGATAGTAAAGATTAATATTTAGTTAATTTTTGTACCAAAATTGTCTATTTGGAACATTTTTCATGAGGTGCAGATAGCTTTACAAAAATATGACTATATATTTTGTTTAAAAGTGATTGTAAGGAGACTATTTTTAAAATTTTGAATATTCAATTTAAGTTTTACTCACTGCATTTTGGGTGCTTAAGAAAGTTAAAGACTTATTAAAGTGTGTTAAATTTATTATATTTAATCATATATGTAAAGAGATTAACCAATATGATAATAGATTAACTAAATTAGGCTTAGATGAATCATTATATTTTTCTTATTTTGATGTAGCCCTTTCATTCTTGCTTTCTTTTTTTGTATCTTTATGCTTTTGGCATTTAGACATCCAAATTCTCTTTGTAATTTTGTTTGTACTTGGAACGGTTTAGCCCATTTGAATAGCAAAAAAATAAAAATAAAAATTATAAAATATATAAAGTGTTTAAAATTAAAAATGTAAAAACTATATACAGATAATAATTTAGAATGTGAGATAAATCTCAAGATAACGGTGTTCAATGAATCAATTTGTTAACTATTAAATTAACTTCATGAATAACATTGTTTAAAATTATTTTTAAATCAATAAAAGAAAAAATTTATAAATATTTTATTATATTTAAAATATGAAAAAAATACTTTTAAATAAAATCTTTACATTTTTAATTACTTAAAAAAATTAACTATAAAAATTATCATACAAATTTTTTACAATTATAACTTTTCTCATAAATCTATTTGTGGATAATAATATAATCAAAGGCTTATAATAACAACAAATAAGAGAATTAAAATTAATAAAGAAAAAGTATATTAATTTTTTAAATGTTAAAATCTAAAATTCATAAATTTAAATGTTTAAAATAAAATAATTAATTAACTGAGCTTATTTGAATAAAAAATAAAAAAATATAATAGATTATAGTTGGTTATACTTAATGAGTAAGATTAACTAATTATTCAAACAAATCTAAACTAATTTAATTAATATAGTTTGAATTATTAAATTTATTCAGTCAGTCCAAACCATAAATATTCCTACACTCCGTGAGTTAAAAATGATAACTATGTATAAAATTTAAATAATAATATCAATTATTTTAAAATTATATAATATTTTAGAGTTAGTATAATGAAATACAATATCATTTGAGTTGGTCTATTTCGAATAATGGATTTTAACAAGTTGGGTCCAGAGTGTCTGAGTGAGTCCCTAAATGTAACAGTAGATTTGTTTTATTTCGCCTCCACCTAAGCCCAATCAGAATGTCAGCCCACGTCACGTATTGAGAAAAAAAAAATTGAAAATTATTAGCTTTGTATGCAACAAAGTTAAGAAATTAATAAATAATTTTTATTAAAATATAAAAAATATATTTTAATATTTTTAATTTTATATCATGCTCTTAAAAATGTAATTATTAATCACAATATTATAACTAACAATTACTTGTTTTTATTAACGTTCATCTAACAAAATTTGCATGATAAGATAAAACTCACTATTGAAATTAATTGAATGCAAACTATAAAACACATCCAGAAAAAAGAGAAAATTTTCAATTTTAAAGAAAAAAACTGTAATTTAAAGCATAAAATCATACACCCTGCAAATTCTTGTTGAAGCTTGTGTCTTTGCTTGATGTGGTTGAAGTTTATATAAAATGTAAATAGAAAGAAAAGTAAAAAGAGGTTAAACAAAATAGTATGTTAGACATAGATAATTTATAATTTAAAACACCATTTTATTAATAAAGCTTTATATTTACTTGTTGATAAATTAAATTTAAAGAGAATCATATCTATTAATTAGTACTTACTAACTCTTAAATTTAGGATGGCAACAAAATTGGGATATCTTTCAATTTTTTAGTTTCAGGACAACGCAATATTTATGATTACATTTTAAAAGAATGTAACTCAATGCCCAAAGAAATAAAGTCTGCGTAATTTTGACAACAATTTCGATATAATTTACTCGAAAGAGGGAAGCCATTTCTTATATATATATATAAGTCAAAGGCCGATTTTTTCTTTGACCAGGTTCTGTTTTTTGGTACGCGTTGTACCGATCACGTCCCCAAAAAACCAGATAATGTCAACGACAAAATTAACCAAAAATAGCATATTCATTTCAAAATAAATTAATAAATTTTCATGGCAATAACTTCAAATTTCTTTGTCACAACTAAATAAATATCAAATAATTACTTTGATCTTAAATACATAGTTGAATATAAAATTAGAATTCATCTTGTTTTATTATTAAACCTCTTATATGAATGCCATTTTCAGTTTTTATTTTTTCATTCATTTAAATGAGTATTTTTTTTATTCCGTTCAAATAACACTTTTTATTTTTTATTTCCCGTGTACATATTAGGCTAATTAACTTTAATTGCTATGATGATGAAGTTTCATAATTACATGACTATTAATTACGTAGATAACTCCTTGTGCCACAAGCTACATATTGCACACAAACCTTAGGATAATTTCAAGAAGTTTGTAAAACGAAAAATGTGAACGGAAAACAGCAGAAAATTCTACGTTCATCACATTATCGTCAATTACTTGGTAAGTTCCATGCATTAACTGAATAATGAAGATAGGTTTCCCTATAAATACAATGTTGCCACATTGCTATGTTTCATCAACATTGATTGTTTCTTCTCATCAGCAGATATAGAAGTTTTTACAATGAGTTCCCAAAAGATAACCATTCAGAAGGTTCTTGCCCCTACAACAAGGCCACCCCCTAAGGACTGTAACACCAAACCTCCAACTACTGGGACTAAATTGCCTACTATACAACAGGTCTTTTCAAGAAGGAGATGAAATATTCATACCATGTTTATAATTTAACAGGTACGTATTTATAATGTCCTGATGAAAACCCTTTACATCCAATCCAAATTAATAAAGATAACTTGTTTGATTGCTTGTATATATATATACTTTCTCTTATTTTGTTCGTATTTTGCAGCATTGATGAATTATTGGACAAACTAATAATGGATTATTTGAAGGCTTTATGATGAATATGGACAAGAACTATAGGGAGCGGAACATTTTACCAGTAAATGTATTTTTTTTATTGTATTCATTAATTTATTCATTTGACTTATTTTTGTTCTGTTTTACAATTCTCCAACAATATTGTAAAAACTGGGAATTCTTATTTTCGTGATATATTGTCATTAATTAAGTGTCAGTTCTTGTCATGTTTGTTAATTGGCTCATCTAATCCCCAAATCTATTTATTTATAACTAATACATTTTTTTTTTCGCTACAATTTTTATGGCGTTTTTATAATTTTTTAACGTTAGTTTGGAAGTTTTACGAAGCATGATAAGTTAAATCAAACCCTCAAATTGAACAGTGAATCCTATGAAATGTCAATTGACAAATAAGCATATAATTAGTTGATGGTTGATCTTATAAAAATTTCAAATTTAACCAATTGCTGGGAATTTCACTTTATTTGACATTATAATATATAACTAAGTACAAAATCCAGCGAGACAAATTCTAAGAGACATGGCAAAAAGATCATTGTTATCTCTAATTTAGAATTATAAATTTGTTTTCAATCAAGTTGACATTATTTTTATCCATAGTTACAATTCATCATGCAGTACACTTTCCAATTTTGTACTTTTTTTTGCAGTTAAATTACATGGTTACTCTTTTCTTTTTCAACATTTCTACGTTAAATTTTATTCCTTGAATTATTCTTTATATATTTAATCAATACGTATAGTTTTATTATTTTCTCCTGTTTATGTTATGAAAGATTAAATTAGCTTTTTTTTTTTTTATCTTAACTTCTGATATATTCCATCTATACCGAAGGGAAAACATTTCTCTTTCGTAACGTGTGAAACATAAAAAAATTTCCTCCTAAAAATTGTGTTATCTTTAAAAAAAATTACATTTATTCTACCTTTTACTTTGTATGTAATTATTTTATTATTATTTTCATAAAATATTTTATTATAATTATTTTTTATAAAGTAATTTTATCGTATGAAATGAAAAAAGTTGAATAAACGGATATATTGCTTTAGCAGATAATTTATGCTTTGCACAGTAACATAAAATTATTGAATGTATCTTTTTATTCCTTCAAAGATAAATCCTAAGAAACAAAAATAATGCTTATTTATAAAAATTAACTCTTAATTTTACATTTATATTTAATGTTTTTATTTGTTAACTTGAAAATGGCATAACACATTTTAATCCTTTTCGATTATTTACGTACATTGAATTATCTAACAATTACAAAATAGCCAAGCATGTACATTCGCAATCAC